CGGGAGAGACTAGGGATGATGGACTAAGAGAAGGCAAGCAGAGACCAGCTACATGCAGAGCTGCTCCTTGAAGAATGAAGTTTTATCTTTACCTTAATAGGCCCTATGCTCACCAGAATAAAAAAAACAAATTACTAATTTCTACAGAGCCCCAGGAGAAGTGGACAAACTGCAGAAGGAGAAGGGTAGTAGTATGTTTGCAATGCATAAACTGGGGGAAATTATGTTCTCTTTGAGAAAGGCACAGGCAAGTGCATATCCAGGGATGCCCACAGTAGTTTCCTTTTTCTGCAGCTGGTTAACTTAAAAATGTTGCTGTTAATTCTTTGGGAATCCTAAGAAGGTGTAGGAGAAAATCCTGCAGGCAGCGGATAACCTGATTTATTGGAAACATTTTTCTGGGTTCTTTCTGAGGAACTCAGCAGAAAGCACCCATAAATTCTGACCCACTGCCATGAAATATTAATTTTAGAGTGGACATATGCACTTTCAGCATGATGAGATGAAGCTTTCCCCTTTATTCTTAAATTAACTCTTTAGAATGTGCCCTCAATGTGATTGGTCTGAACAAAAATCCATATTTGTCCTTACAGACCTGTCTGTACAGGCCTGTACAGATCTACAGAGCTGGCAGCTAATCACCCTCATCTGCCAAGGAGCAAGTGGAGAATACTATGAATTTTCCAGAACAATTCCATCTCATCCTGAAATAGATATTCAAAATAGATCAGATGAATCAAACACCCCAGATGCCTCATTCTCCCCATAACATGAACCAATGGTGACTTACTCAGACATTACTATATTAGAAGCACCTAAAGTTAGTTAACATGACTCCCAGACCAAGATGACTACGCCCCTCAGTGAACCGTGGAAACAGAAAGTATTAGCAAGCTGAAGTCCAGTTTGCTTACTGGAAAATGAATTTTGCATGCCCTGAGACACATAAATAAGAGAAGTTGTGGTGGGGGAGTCCTGGTCAATGGTGAGCATGCCAGAGCCATCAGACAACTGAGACCTGCCTGGGTACAGAAAGCATGGAGGCTTTCTGTGTTGYCAGCACCTGAGGAATGGCTATGAAATCCTGGGATAACCGAGCCTGCTCAGGCCCGTCCTTGAAACACTGCCCACAGAGCAAGCTGAACAACCCAGGGCCTCAGGGTATCAAATGCCATCTTTCTACTAGGCAAACTAGTAGCATGGTAACTTACAGGCTGGAAGTTGGAAACACGTCTTCCATGTTGAAGACATGGTTGACATGTCTGGGATGACATGATGTCCAGGGCAAGTGATTTGCATGCAATATATGAAGCACTGAGATAAGCTATTCTACAGTAAAGGCTACCATTATCCTTGGACAGAGAAACCAGAGGAAATAATAAATAAAGTTTATTGTACTAAAGAAAAACCTYAGACAGCTACTTATAAAATGTGGAAACAAAGTTATGGAAAGCATTGTCCCTCCCCAACGTATGTTCTTTATTTAACTTTTTCCATTYCCTTTTGGGCCACCTCTTTCAAGTCACAGAATTCAAATATTGCTGCAGCACTGCATAARCACTCCTTGGTAAAGAGTATTGGTTGCGTATATTCTAATCCTGTTCCTAAGTTTGTTTACTCCAGAAATTTCAGTAAGAACGTAAGTGGGAAGCTCTTAGGATAGTGTTCTCTTTTTGCTTTCCTTTCTTTCTTCCTGTTTTGAAGAAATCATAATTGCAAGGAATTTATTTCTCAAAAGACTCTACCAGTGAATCTATTCATAATTCAGATTTTCTGCTGTGTTTAACAGAAGACAGCATCCCTATACCTCATCATGTATGCAGAAATGTAAAATACCTTGATAGGTCAGGTCACACTTGTTCCTTCTTTTCCCTCCACTGTGAGAATTAATGCCCAACCAGGTTGTTTAGAGAAAGGCCTATGGAAACAATGCTCAAGAGAAAAACTTCTTCATGGCTCTTCTGAAGGCGTTCTTCACCTCCTTGTTCCTCAGGCTATAGATGATAGGGTTTAGCATGGGGGTCAGCACAGCGTAGAAGATGGAGGCTGTTTTATCTTGGATGTCCAAGTGATTGGAAAGGGGATGCAGATACAAGAAGGCAGCAGAGCCATAGAAGAGAGTCACAGCCACAAGGTGGGAGGTGCAGGTGGAGAAGGCTTTGTGCCTGCCCTCCACAGAGCGAATATTCCAGATAGTGACAAGAATGCAGGCGTAAGAAACAAAGATGGCCAAGACTGAAGTTGTTATGATGAAACCAATGCTCGTGACCATCACTATCTCGTTGACCCAGGTGTCAGAGCACGAGAGTAACAGCAGTGGAGGGATTTCACAAAAGAAATGATTAACAACATTTGGGCCACAGAAAGACAGCTGGAGGAGAGCACAGGTGTGCACCAGGGCATTGAGAGTCCCCACAGTGCAAGAGCCCACTAACAGCTGGACACACACGCTAGAGGACATGACAGTCAAATAGTGCAGGGGTTCACAGATGGCCATATAGCGATCGTAAGCCATGACAGCCAGGAGGATGGCTTCTGTAGTGCCAAATACTGCATAAAAGTAAAACTGTGCAATGCAGCCACTGAAAGGGATGAGGTTCCTCTCAGTGAGGAGGCCTGACAGGAGCTTAGGRGTTACAGACGAAGAGTAGCAGATGTCCAGGAAAGACAGGTTGCTGAGGAAGAAATACATGGGGAGACGAAGCTGAGAGTCMGTCCTGATTAGTATAATCATACTGAGGTTGCCCACCAGAGTGGTGACATAGATCAGAAAAAAAACCACAAAGAGCAGTCGTGGTAGATTTGTGAAACCCAGGAGAACAAATTCTGTCACTTCTGAATGGTTTCCCTTCACCATTCTGGTACCATGGCAGAGGAGGTGTAAAAGAAACTCATGGAGGAGAGGTGAAATAATTCTCCTAGTATTAGSGGTCTGTAGTGCCGGAGACTAATATGCAGTTTGGCGTTTCCTGGATGACTAACCCACTTATTCTGGAGAAAATATGTGTCAGTTACCCACAGGCAGGCTGAAGATTGACGACAACCAAAAGAAATCTGGAAATTAAGTAAACAACGTATTATATCATAACATCATAATACATCATAACTGCAGAAAAAAATCTTAAAGAGACCTAGCTTTCACAGGCACATTATGGGGAAAAAAAAAAAAAAAAAAAAGTGAGATATCTCAGTAAGATATGAAAGCTACTTTGTCCTGATACCAGTACTGAGGTCTGAGACACAAGACTGTATCAACTCTCTAGAAGATGGTGATAGTAGTAAGGTGACACCTGCCTTCGTACCTACCCATTGCAGAGCAGATCCTCAAGATGGCAGCCCAGATGTACCTGTAGGAAGTGAGGATGGTGACGCTAGTGAGGATTATATTAAAGCCAAYGGACACAAAAATTTAGTTGATACTCATGTCAGAATGTGAGACAGCGAACTCTGGCTGCATTTCRCATCAGAAGTGATCAATGGTCTTGGGATCACAGTATGGTAATGCAGCAGGCAATACATTTCTATTAACAATCCAGAGCTTTGGGATTCATTCCCTGAGGATATTTTCCTCTCAAATGTAGACAAACAAAATAGTCATAACAACTGACGACATGAGTTCAAGTATTTTGCACTCTTGCTTATTCTATGACCAAGGCTCCCCGGGGAGCTGCCTGTCTGATTATGTGATAATACCTTATCCTTTTGGACTTAATACAAGTAGAAGTGTATTATGTGCTTATTACAAATAAGAATAACTGTGAGGACAGGATTTTCTCTTGTGAGTATCCTTGGCTATCAATATTAGAGCTGATAATGTTTATGTCTGCTTTAGTGCTACCCAGTGTAAGAGAGAGGTCAGCATACTGGAGGGGTCTGGTGGTGACTACCACGGTGGTCAGGAGGTTGAAGCACATGATGTACAAGGAGAGGACTGCATTTGCTGAGCCTGGAAAAGTGAAGGCAAGGAGGAAATCTTGTTGCTGTCTCCTACTCCCACGTGCAAAAGTGTGGAGGAGGAGGGGACAGGCTTTACTCAGTGTTTCACAGGGATAGGAAAAGAGGGGATGGACTGAATTTGCAATTTGGGAAATTCAGAATCGTGAGGCTGGTCAGACACAGGAGCAGAGGTCCRGGATGGGAGGCTATTTTAGAGGTATCCATTGATTCCTTCCTCCTCCCTTGGCAAGGTGGCCTGGATAGCAGTAGTGATAAGAGAGGAATGTGAGTGTAAATAGTGTGCRAGTGAAACACCCAGTGCTGTCTGAGAGGGAGTTTGCCCAGACTGATAACATTAAACAGGAGGATGACCATCTCCTGGATTAAACAGTAACCAGAGAGTTAACAAGACGCTTTGGAAACAAAGAAGGATTCAGCTTTGCCACCCTGCACTTATGCGCCTTAAGGACCTTACAACCATTTCTTAAAATTAAATTTTCCTCAGTAGAATAATAGTAAAGATATTGAATACTACTGACTAGTGGAGTAGTAGTATTAATAATACAGTAGTATTCAGTAGAATAATAGAAGAGAGCGTCTGCAATCTGACTTTTTAGGTAATAGAAGACCACAGGTATGCTGTGGTGCCTTAAGTAGCAGTGAAGTAGCACATGTTCACAACCCGAGTCCAACCCCCTAAAGAAATTTTTGAACTGTTCTCCTGTRCTAAATTTTCTGTATGAAAGGCCCTGCCATAATACATGAGAGAAATAAATGCAAGAAAACAAAATGGAAGACAATGAAGATCTCATGCTTGCAAATCCTATGCCTATGTCTTTATTAGTTAAAATTAACTACTGAAAACAGTTATCAGCAACTAAAGAACAGAGTTAAGTCAGTTTAATCAATTAACTGAGTTAGTCCTGAACCAGCTGAGAATGAATCATCCAAAGCATCATGTAAGCCAAAGTGAAGAAAATAAAAAAAAAAATGTAGATTTAATCAAAAATTGAGCTTTTCACTCAGGCTTTTCACCTCTGTCTTTAAACTTGTAGCATTCAGCTTCATTTTATTTTTGTGATACTCCTCAGAGCTTTCTTCACTTCTTTATTCCTCAGGCTGTAGATCAAGGGGTTTAACATAGGAGTCACCATTGTATAGAGCACCACTGCCCATTTATCTTCTCCTCTTGAATTTTCTGAGCTTGGTTTTAAATACATAAGGAATGATGTCCCATAGAAGATGCTCACAACAGCCAGGTGTGAGGCACAGGTCGAGAAGGCTTTGCATTGGTCCTTAGCTGAGTGGATCCCCAGTACAGTGGAACAGATGGCAGTGTAGGAGCTCAGGACAATGAGAATGCTGGAAATACCATACAAGCTGGCAGAAGTTCTAAGAATGGTGCGGTTGAGGGTGGTATCAGAAGTGGAGAGTGAAATCAGAAGGGAGATATCACAGAAGTACAAATCAATGACTTTGGAGCCACAAAAGGATAAATTTAATATACCCAYGGTGTGACTCACGCTGTTCATCAGCCCAATCAGATAGGACCCAAACACCAGCTGGAAACAGAGTTTTGGAGACATGACAAGAGAGTATACCAAGGGATGACAAATGACCACATAACGGTCATATGCCATTGTAGCCAGCAGGAAACATTCAGCAATCCCCAAAATATCAAAAATGAGCACTTGAGCTACACAGCCAGCATAAGTAACATGCTTCTCCTCCAACATAAAGTCAGCCAGCATCTTGGGGGTAACAACTGTGGAAAAGCAGAGGTCCACAAAAGCCAGATTGCTCAGAAAATAATACATGGGGGAGTGGARTTGAGGACTGACTTTGATTAATGTGATTATCCCAAGGTTGCCCAGGATGGTAACAAGATATATGAGCAGAAACATCTGAAAGAGCATAACCTGAATCACCGGATCAGTTGTGAACCCCATCAAAGTGAATTCAGTCACCTGGGTGCAGTTTCTTTTTGTCATTATTTTGATGCACAATTTCCATGTGAAGTATTCCGAGGAAGATCAATAATTCCTTGCTACTGCAGGCATGCTACTGCTTTTCYCCCTGGTGAAAAGCATCTCCAGTGGGCAGTGTTATTGGTGCTGTGCAGAGAGAGTCATGTAAGATCTAAAGGAAAACTGAGACATGAATCAATTTGTGACAGTTTGTTAGAAGGCTTCTCAAGTAGTGAGGCGCTGTGAAAGCCAAGTTCTGCCCAAAGTGACATAGCCAGGTGCATCCTTCAGTTCATTTTTTGAACTGATGGTTTGGCAATGATCGTTACAGAAAGTAGTAGTAAGGTTACTAACCAGGGTAGCTTCACCTTGGTGCTGGATTTCGTACTCTGTGAGAGACTCTTTGTTTTGAGACACTGAGATTATGCGGCTCAATCTGAAACAGAAAGGAAGTGCTTTTACAAGGTGACATTGCTCATCATCCCACAGAAGTCTGGTAGGACCATAATTATTCATCATCTCTCTCATCTGCCCATCTGTGCCAAGCACCCTTGGCACCCATCTGTGCAAAGACTTCTTTTTTCATAATTATGAAAGCTTAAAACATGGAGAATTATATTGGCCTCACATCACTCCTGATAACTTCTTTTCCCTTTACAAATATTTTTTAGTTCAATCTGTAAATGGAAATGGGCAATCCCAGACATTGAACAWCCCCTCTTTGAAAATCCTGGTGGAGTGGGAGGAAAATCACTCTTCGGACTTGCCCATCTCCAACAGTAAGCTCCCTAAATAACCATTATGGGAACGGTTCTGGTCCTCACAAACGAGTCACTTCTGGTCAATGGGGAGAGAATACTGTCCCAGCATACACTCTGATAATGCAATCTCCACACCTGCCTCCTCAACAGTTTTGTAGTACGGAGGCAGAACAGTGAGCTGCATGTTTTGGGAAGAAGGTGCAGAGTGTCCTACCCTGGAGCTGTGGAACTACACCCAGGTAGCTACTGCTGGAAGGACAAATCTTTCACTAAAGAGGAACTGAAGCCTAGGACCCTGCAGAGAGGGCATAAGGACTGGAAGAGGTGTCAGGATGATGTAGAAAGACAGCAGATGCTGGGAAATCATGGAGGGCCTTTCCCGCAGAGAGGAGGAAAGGAGACGTTCAGCTAGCAAAAGCTGACCTGTACTCTTCCTTTTCTACAAAAAGAAAAAAAAAAAAAGAACGGAGCATAGCATACAGGAATACCCACAGCTGCCTGCAATGTAGATGCCTAGGGATGAAGAATACAAAACCCACACAAGTGTTCCTTATTGCTTGTCTCTGTCTTCCCTGTCTTTTCCTCTCTGAGCTATTCCCTTTTTGCAAGACAAACCTATATGAAATTGCTGGAGAGCCTATTTCCTTGCTCCCAGGTCTGAATTAAGGCTGCAATTAAGGTAAGACTCACATTTCAGTAATCCCTCTCTCTGCTTCCCTCTTGAAAGTCTCAGAGATGATGTGGAGAAGCACCTGCCTTAAGCTCTGCAGCAGCACTTGAAAACAAGCTGGCTTCACTAAACACCCTTATTAGTTCACCTAATATAAAGATTTGGAGATTGGGAATCTCTATCAGTCTCTGGAGCATTAAAATGCTCGAAGCAGGTCATTATCTTTTCTCTCCACTTTTCAGTTTGGAGAAGCATACTAGGAGGACACGACCTCAGTACATATGCTCCATGGGGCCTTGGASGAGGAAATCAAAGAGGACAAACCACAGAACCACAGTCTATCTTTTATGCTCAATATTTGAACTTCTCAGAAACAGTAATAACTCCAGAAGTGCTTATTTTGGCTTTGCCAGACTAGAATTATACAATCACAGGGTCACATTTTTGAGGTTGGAAGGAATCAAACCCCAACACAGAGCAACTTCAAAGGTACAACTTCAAAGATTGACTGGGTCACCCAGGATCTTGTTTCATTTTGAAATTCTCRAAGGACAGAAATTTTACAATCTGCTTGGGAAACTCCTAGTGCTTGAGCAGCCTGACTTTGTATTTCCTAATATCAAACTGACATTTCCCTTGCTGTGACTCAAACACCATCCGGTGTTTGCCCACACTTGTGGTGAAACATCTTTTCCCGAATGTTTTACCTAATATCTTTTCCTGTGTTGCAGCTTGGCTCCTTGCCTTTCACACTGCCAGCGTGCCCCTCCAAACCACCTGCTCTAGTCTTCTCTGTATCCACCTACGGGTATTTCAAGGCAGCAAAAAGACTGTCTCTTCTCCAGGAAGCACCAGGATGTCCATGTCCAAGCAATCTGCAAGCAGCCACTAAGGTGCCTCCATTCAAGCCATCCGACCGGGAACCTTTGCAATGATGCAGAGGATGAGGGACAGGGACAGCCTCATTAGGGGTTATAGGCGATATTCTAAGGTTGTTAGGGTAAGAAAGCCTAAGACATGAACACGAGGGCTCTGAGAGGGCAGCTCCCCCATATTTCCCTCTTCTTCCATATCTTCCAGAGGGCTCTAGTGATGCCAGTTCGACTTGGTCACCGCCTTTGCTCCCTGTTAAGTGCTCAGTGCACTTAACTGTGCAGCATCTGTTGATGATTACCCAGAGCTGGAAAGGCATAGGAATATTACCCACCCCTGGAGGCAGCAGCTCYCTCCTCCAGTACCCAGGCACATCTGCACTTGCAGCTAGAGTTATTAACCCCAGGACAAGCCTTCTTCCTCTTTCATTTTAGATGTCACCCCCCTGCTGCCCCTGAGGGCGTTAGTTCCCCTTGCTGATTTGCATCTGCAGCAGTGCAGGAAGTTGCAAACAGTTCTTTGCAATGCAGGTRCAGAGAGAAGGGGAGGTGCTTCTGGGGTCACCCAGGAGCACTTCAACTGCAGCAGCACTGCCCTGTCCCCACTCCTGCATAAGGTACAAGGCAGCCTCCCTCAAGGTATGTCATGCAACTTGTGCAGAATGCCACTAAGCTGTGCAGCAGCAGCCTGGCTCACTCCAGCTTGGCATCCTTTTTTTCCCTGCATGAAACCCAGAGCTGGGCAGACTCTCACCAAGCCAAAGCATCATTTCCAATAAAGAGGGACTTCCCTTGCTTGCCTCTCTCATTCTCTGTCCTATGTTGGGATGTTTCCACCCCTTCCACAAGGCTCTGTAGCAAACTAGGAGTTTCAAACTGAAAAAAAAAAGCAATGGAGAAATTATTGTCATTCCTTCCTCGGGGTTTCCTATCAGACCTTTAAAAATATTCTTTCTGTTTATTTCTCCATTGCTTTTTTTTTCAGTTTTCTTCCAGTACAGAGGAAGAAATTCTGCAGAGATCAACCAGTGCAGAATGTCATGTAAAACAAACTGGTTTTAAATGGTCCTGTGTGCATCAAATACTTGGGTACTATGAGGCCATTCCCTAACTGGCATTGTCCATCCTAAAGGCATCTGTGAGGTTCATGCTGCTGGCTCTGCTCTGATGGCCAGGTCTGCTTTCTGATGCCTTGTCAGTGCAGTGCTGTGGTCGCAGAAGGTTCTTCACTTTCTTTTACGGAAAATTTGAGAAACGGGAACAGGTCTGTAGCCTTGGGAAGAAAGAAGTGAAAAAGCTAATCTAGCTAATGCTCTGTCTCAGAAATAAAGCAAGCACTTTCAAAAGCAATATGGTTTTTAAGCCCACCACCTGATTTTGAGGACATGCCTCCCATTTTCAGACAGGTGGAGGCACTGTGCAAGATCTCTTCAAGGGAGGAAGTTGCCTATAAGCAAGAGTTGCCTTTGCCCTCAGTTTTGTCTGGAAGCCTGTGCTGAGGACAAGGTYCCCAGGGCTCAAGGAAGGGATTTGGTCAGATGTTCCTTGCTCTCAGGTTCACCCCTGCCGTGCCTTGGGGACACTCCTGTAGCTCCCTCCAGTGAGCATGATGCTCAGTGTGGAAGCTCAGCCTGCAGCAGACGGGGCCCCAAAGTGACACTCTGAGCACTGAGGAGCATCTTGGACATCTCCCCAACCCCAGATGCCCAAGCGATGCCAGTGGTGCCCTGCCCCAGCTCCGGCTGTGCTCACGCAGGTCTCAGGCTCCCTCCATCCATCTTCTTGCTGTCAGCGCCTTTGCGCCGCTTCTCACACCTCCTCATCTCCACGCTCGATACCAGCCCCACGGCAAGAGCCAGAGCTGCCAGCGCTGCTGACAGCGGGAGATGAATGGGGCCACGTCGGTGCTGCAGGGCACAGGCACGGAGGGGTGTGCGGAGCTGCGGCAGACAAGCCAGTCTTGGGAGCCATCTGCAGGACGAAGACCCTGTCCCCCATCAGACAGTCCCAAACATCCTCCTGGTGCTTTCTGGCCTCCTAGACAGATCCCTTCCTGTCTTGTATTAGTCCCAGTCCCAATACCTCAGCTCCAGCTGAGATTATGCTGTCTATGTAGGCCACTTTGGCTACACAAGACATCACCAGAGTATGATGAGTATCCCTACCCCTTATGATGACTGCAAGGAACTAGGAAGGATTTTAAGGAACAAATCCTTACGCAAAAGTGAAGCCTAAACAGCTGATTAAGTCCAAGTTTGTATGAAGGGACTGGCTTTGCTGAAGTGATTAGTTGCAAAGCCTCTGATGGGGAGATACTCACTGTCACCATGACCCAGGCATTGCCGGAGAGAAGACCTCTGGGACACTGTTAGGGACCCACATATAAGGTGAGGACAGAGCAATAGTGCTGCAACCACCATGCTCTTCCATGACCGTGGACAGGACACCTTGGACAAACATTTCCAAAGCCATCTGCTTAAATGAGGGGGTCACACAGCCTRCAGAACTGCTGGATTGCGATTACACTAGTCAGGTCCCAGCTCTGAAGTACCTCACCAACCACCCAGGCTTGGTGCAGACACAGGCTTCTGGTTTGTCCTGTGTTGTCCAGGCCATGCAGTCAATATCCCAGGTTAGGGGCACAAGAGCAAGCACATCCTGTCACCCCTTCAAATATGCCCCTGTGGGAATCATTGTCTCTCCAGATCCAGGAACGTGGCTTCCAGTTCAATCCCTGCATGTAATGTCCTCTCTGCTGCTCCCACCCACACCCTGTTCCTCATTTTTCTTGCAGGAGCTGCACATTTCAGAGGTCAGGCAGTCTCACTCCCCATCCTCAGCTGTGACATAACCCCTTCCTTGACCTATCTCGCTAGCACAGGCTGCACTGATACATCCTGGTAGCACCTGACCCTGGCAGCTAAGATAATAATGAGGGACTCATTAATAACCCATCTGTCTGTGCCCATGCAGATGCTTGGTGGGCAGCTACCCCCCAGCCTTGGCCCCTCAGACAGAGCTCCCAAGCGCTGGTGCCCGCCCCAGCAGTGCTCATCTCCCCTCCGTGCCCTGCAGCGCCGACGCGGCCCCATTCATCTCCCGCTGTCAGCAGCGCTGGCAGCTCCGGCTCTCGCCATGGGGCTGGTATCGAGCGCGGAGATGAGGAGGTGTGAGAGGYGGTGCAAAGGCACTGACAGCAAGAAGATGGATGGAGGGAGCCTGAGCCCCGCGTCTGAGCCCGGCCGGAGCTGGGGCAGGGCACGACTGGTGTCATATACGGGTGAACTTGGAGATCCCTCGGCACAGAAAGCTGAGGCAAAGGCTGAGCCATCCATGCGAAGGAGCAGGGAGAGATGGGAGTGCTGCTCGGGTGCAGCGAGCACTGCCTGCCCTTCCCCAGAGCCACGGGGCATTGCACGGGCTGGCGCGAGGCTGCAGCAGCCTCCACGCACCGCCGTGCTTTGTAATAACAGGTGCTGATGGCTGGCTGTCWGACGAGGTGCCAGAGGCTGTAGTATGGACATCTGCAACGTGCTAAGCATCACAATGCGGGGGAGGCAAGGGGGACATGCAGCAGCCAGCTCCATCCTCACGCTGMCTCTCTCGGCAGCCAGGCGGGCAGGCAGGTAATGAGGAGCTTCTTCCACCAGCCCATCTCTTCTCCAGCCCCATGCCACGGGGCTCTGGGGCTGGCATCTGCATGCAGCATGCACCATGCCTGCCACTGCTGCACACCCTCAGCACCCCCTTCCTCCTGCCCTGGGGCTTGGGGGCTGCCTGGTCCCCAGGACCTGCCGTAGCATGGAAACAAGCAGAAGTGTCCACACCAGAGCCCAGATTACCACCATCCCATGTTCAAGGACCCCAGTRCTGGTGATAAGCGATGAACTTGGCCACATGAGCCCTGCTGCCATGGYCCATGGCCCTGCTTGTCTCCCTAGGGCTGATGTGCCGCCATTCCCATCCAGGACTGAGGTCTTGCTGGGCCAAACTGTCCTCATGGAGGTAGGAGCTCCTCTAGGGGATGATGACATAGTGAGATGTGACTTCGTTGCTGGAAAGGAAGGGGCTGTAGGGCCCAAGGARCCTGGGAGGAACTGGGCAACCAGAAGACAAGTCCCACTACCAGGATCAGTCTGGGCTTTCTCTGAGGTGAAAGGGTCAGAGCAGCTYCAGCCCTCCCCTAGATCAGGTATGTTGCATGAAAGCGCTAAGGGCTAAGGGTGTGTTGTATAAAAGGGCTAAAGAGACAGCAGGGCTTTGCTCCCCAAATGGGCAGATGTGGCTCTCTGGTCTGGGATACCCCTGCCCCATGTTCAAGAGCACCAGCAGCAATCCCAGGCCAGCCTGGCCCCATGTCGGGYCACCGCTCACCTCCCATCCATCAAGACCTCCTCAAGGCACTAGGGCAGCAGGGAGAGGGGCGGGATGCGTCTCCGCATCGCCACAAGGCAGCCAGCCCCCCGAGGAGCGTGGCCACGCCGTCCTGCTCATCTCCACGCGGCGCAGCCAGGCCAGGGGAGTCTCCACCCCCAAGCAGGAGGATAAAAGCCCCCTCACGGATGTGGGGGGACTGGAGTGCGGAGCTGGTGCTGCCTTGTGCTGGGGAAGGGGCTGCAGATCCCCCTGCATGGAGCTGAGGGCTGGAGCCACAGCAGCCTCCCACGCGCTTGCTGCACCCATGACAGGTAAAACGCGCTGGAGACCAGGCTGCTCGGGTCCCGCTGGTGGCCCCCTTGGTCACCCCGTGTACGTCCATGTGCCACACAGGAGCCCAGGGTGTACCTGGGGTGATGGGTTGCATGTGGTGTGTTCAGGGAGCCACATGTGGACAAGCTGCCAAGGGTCAGGGCCTTGGGGTTGTCCTGCCGGCCCCTGTCCTCTCCGGGGTGAGCGTGGGGCAGCACACATAGRCAAGGGGACCCATGTGGCAGCACTGGTGACCTTGGGAGACAGTGGGGAGCGGGGGGGGGAATGGGCTATGTCGAGGGGCCCGGGAGCCTGCGCCCTTTCTCCATCTCAGCATAGGGAGGACAGGATGGGGTGTTCAGTAGATGATGGTGAGGGGCAGGTTGTGCGGGTCCAATTCCCACACCTGGGAAGCAAGCAGGGAGCTAAGAGTGGCCACCCTGGTGACCATGGGAGGGCTCTAGGGACCACGAGGCTCCTGGGACCCCATCCTGGCCACGAGTGGTGGGGCCCAGGGCGGCAGCGCRACCCCCTGCTCCTCGCAGCCTTCCTGGGTGCGGGCCTGAGCGTGGTACCTGGTGAGGGCTGCCCCACGTGGGCGGGCACCATGGGGAGGCCCTGCCCGCTGGCAGCAGCCCCTTCGAGCGCTGCGCTGGCGGCCGAGGGGCCGGGAAGCGGCACCAAGAACCAGCGCGTGTGCCATGTGGCGGTGCAGCTGGAGATGGGCGGCCTGTGGCAGCAGTTCAACCGCCTGGGCACCGAGATGATCGTCACCAAGGCGGGCAGGTAGGGGCTGCAGCGGGGGTGCTGGGGTCGTTGGTGCCAGAGGTTGACCCCACAAGACTTGTCTCTCCCTACAGGAGGATGTTCCCCACCTTCCAGGTGAAGCTCTCGGGRCTGGACCCGCTGGCTGATTACGTCCTGCTGATGGATTTTGTCCCGTTGGATGACAAGAGATACAGGTGTGGACCAGGACACCTGAGGCCAAAGACGGATGACTGGGYGGTGGTGACGGGACAGGCAGGGTCCCTGGCAGCTCTTGACGGCTTAGGGGGTCTGCATTCGCCCCAGCTCCATGCGAGACGAGCACATTCCGGCGCTCAGCCACCGCTGTCCCCACAGATACGCCTTCCACAGCTCGTCGTGGCTGGTGGCAGGCCGGGCCGACCCCGTGGCRCCTGGCCGCGTCCACTTCCACCCCGACTCACCCGCCAAGGGTGCCCAGTGGATGCGGCAGATCGTCTCCTTTGACAAGCTCAAGCTCACCAACAACCTCCTGGATGACAATGGCCATGTGAGACCCCCTGACCTTGGTGGAGAAGGGGCAGGAGAGGCAGCCCAGCTGCAGAGAGYGAYTCTGCAGTGGGGAGGAAGGGACGAKGGAGTCAGATGGGGCACACAGGTGCCCACTTCACGTCTCCTTGCTCTGCCCAGATCATCCTCAACTCCATGCACCGGTACCAGCCCCGCTTCCATGTGGTCTTCGTGGACCCCCGGCGGGACAGCGAGCGCTTTGCCCATGAGAACTTCAAGTCCTTCAGCTTCCCCGAAACGCAGTTCATGGCAGTGACAGCCTACCAAAACCACCGGGTGAGCCTCTCTGGGGGACCRGGGACACCTGGCCACCCCCAGCAGGACCAACCCCTGACCACCTCCTCCCTCTGCAGATCACGCAGCTGAAGATCGCCAGCAATCCCTTTGCCAAGGGCTTCCGGGACTGTGAGCCGGAGGCCTGGTAAGTGTCCCCACGCCACCGCGAGGCTCCTGGTGCCACCCACTCATCCCCCTGAGTCACTTGTCTCCCCCAGGTCTGGGGCGGCCGCCGGGCCCCTGCTGGGCACCCTGTCACGGATGCGGGGGGCCGCGCTCGGCTCGCAGCCCAAGGAGAAGCAGCAGAAAGGTAGCAGCCCTGAGGCTCGTGGCGCGTGCCAGTCCCCACGGCTGCGCTGACCCTGCTCTGCTTTTCTCTCCCCATCTCCAGGGGCTCCCCGAATGCATGGCTGCAGCGGAGAGCAGGCACCGGCCATCCCCCGCGAGCCGGCTCCGCTCCCCCAGACGGCTCTTGTGGCAGAGCTGCCCCCCTACCAGCCCCTTGGCTACCACAGTGTGTATGTGGGGGCCAAGCCCCGCACTGTGCCCTACCCGCTGCCCACCCTGCAGCCGCCCACCTTCCACGCGCTCAACGGCTACGGGGCCACAGCAGCGTCTGCCTTCACCTACAGCCAGCAGTGACGTGGCGCCCCCCGTGCAGCTCACGTCGTGCACCCTCCCTCCAGGTCCGCATCCCCATCCCCACCGCGTTGTGAGGACAGCACACACCGTGCCCTATTGGCCCTCCTGCTGCGCCGAGCCCTACAGGAGCAAGAGAGGCAGGGTGCTGGGGATGGGAACCCCAGGATGGGGACTTCTGTGTCCCCCTCCAAGCCCCAAAGCAGCCAGAGACCAGCACTACTTGGGCGGCTTTTATTTGCTTCCAGAAGAAAGTCTCCCAGGGCACGTGGAGGCTGCTCAGGCTGGAAGAGCAGAGGAAGGTGCGGATGGATCCTACATCCATCCCCGGGGTGCTGGGGACGTGGCCCTACCCCACTGCTCCCGGATCTCCAACACGGCTCCCCGACACCCTGAGCCCCCTGCTTGCGCTCCAGGGGCAGGGCGAGGTGGGCACCCAGGTACTGCAGCACATCTCGGCTTCCTCACCGCTGCGCCAGGGCCCCAGTCATTTGTTCACCATCGATAATGAGAAGGGGAAGAAGGGGCAGGGGGAAAAGAAGAATAAAATAAAGAAGGTAAACTGCTCCAGGCCAGAGGGGAGGGCTCAGAGAAGTAGCGGTCAGGGAGGGGCAACAAGAGCATCCTCGCAAAAGGCACGGAGGCGGCAGCCCTACTCGCAGGCGTTGGTCGCGAAGGCGAAGGGGCACAGCTTGTAGCCGGCGCCTACATAGAACTTGTTCTGGAACTCCACCCTGTCGAGGAGAGGGGCAGTCAGAGGCAGCATGGGGACCCAGCCCCGTGAAGTGCCGGCACCGCCGCTGGGGCTCTCACCAGTGCAGGCGCAGGGCGTGCAGGAAGGCYGAGAGCCCCTCCATCACCAGCAGGATGGCCACGGTGAGCACGGCRAAGAAGGCGAAGACGGGCACCAGCACCACGCCACCCACGTAGCTCAGCCGCACGAAGCCATTGCGCATCACCATGGTCCAGAGCACCTCGGAGAGCTCTGCGGGACGGGCAGCACTCCAGGGGAGGCTCCTCTCCAAGCTTGGGGATCCCCAGGGCACGCAGAGGGGAGCGAGCAGGGATGGGGGCACTCACGGGCATGTGCCAGGCTGAGGGCCCAGAGCCGCAGGTAGGACGCCGTGTTGGAGATGCAACCCAGGCAGTACTCAATGGTGTGGATGGCCTGGTGCATGAACACCTCGGAGAAGTCCAAGTGCTGCAGAAGGCAACGCGGGAGGTCAGTGGGATGTGGTACCGCACGGTGCCAGGCCCAAACACCTTGCCCAGGTGCCAGAGCCCTCACCTTGGCATCGTGGCCATGTGCCCCACTCTCCACGTCCTCCTTGGTGGCGTTGACAGAGTTGCCAGCTTCCTGCCCCTCCAGCAGCGGCTCCTGCCCCGCTCCAGTCCCAGGCTGTGCAGGAGCCAAGGTGAGACCCTGCTGCATCCCCGGACCTACCAAAGCGCCCCTCGGCCTTGCTCCTACCGCAGGCTGGCGCATTCGCCAAGAGCGCTGGCGGCAGTACAAGTAGAGGGGTGTCCCCAGGAGCAGGACAGGCACCGATGCCAGAGCCAGCACCACCAGTACAGTCTGCACGGGCACCTGCAGCAACATGGGACAGCAGCTCCCAAGTGATGCTCCCCAGCTTTCCACCCAGCGTGAGACACTGGCCAGTGAGTCAAGACAGAGAGGAGAGCCGGGCTTGGGGAGCCCCACGGCTGCCCCATGGTGGGAGGCGCTACCTGCCCCTCATAAAGCGGAAGGTTCTCCTTGTTGGAAGTGAAGAGGAACATGTCGATGAAGTGAATGAGGATGCTGGGGGCCACCAGGGAGTTGACAGCGCTGAACCTGATCCACTTGTAAAAGATGAGGAAGACGAGGTAGCCAAAAAGGGCCAGGAGGAAGATCATCTCGGGCAGGAACTCCAGCACCAGCCGGTGTCGCTGCCSGAAGTGCCTGGGCAAAGAGGGGCACCAGTGGGGCTCAGCCTGCCATGGCACAACCCCCATTCCCATATGGGCCATGGAGGTATCACCACAGGGCTGCCCATGACTTGCACCCTGAACTGATGTAGCACTACTGTCACCTCCCATCCTGATGCCACAGCCACCACTGCAGGGGCTGCCCTGCCCTGAGCAAAGCAGGCTCTGGCCCCTTGGCAGCACCCAGGGGTGGGTGGGGAGAGCTGAAGCCTGTGAGTGCACAGAGGGGAGACTCACACATGGTTGAAGACCCCCAGGAGGACCCCAAAGCCCATGTGCACAATGCCCAGCACCACGGACATCTTCATCTTGAAGGAGTTGAGGAAGTTGAGGTGGTTGGTGGCCAAACTCCAGATCTGACCAGGACAAAGCAGAGGGAGGCGGTGAGAGGCTCAGCCACCCTGCCCAGGGTCCCATCCCGTCTCCCCATAGTCCCCCACTCACTGGGTCGATCCCAAATGGGTAGGGCCCTTGGAAGACACCTGTGATGTTGGGGTCCAGGGTGAGGGATGGGTGAACAGCGAGGTAGTCTGAACTGTGGGGAGAACAAGGAGGGGGGAGTTCAGTGCAAGGTGGAGGGCAGGTGCCAGAGGCCCCACRAGCCCAGGGGTCTCACCTCCAGGAGGAGTGGTTGGCCATGGTGGCCACGCTCCAGGCCGAGGGGAATATGACTGTGGCTTTGCTGAAGCACTCGTTGTAGATGAAGCCCGTATAGATGGAGAAGGCCCCCATGAGCAGAATGAGGTAGCGCCCTTCAAAGAACGTCAGCCAGATCTGGGGGAAGCAAAGGCGGCTCCCATGCTGTCCCACAACCTGCGCCATGGACTCCCTCCTGGCCCTGCCCCACACCACCAACCCCATCTCACCCCACCAACCCTACCGCACATCATCCTTACCCCACACCACCCATCCCAACCTGTCCCACCCCACCAACGCCATCTCCCCTTACCACACACCAACCCCTTGCACAGCACAGCTCCCCACACCACCAGCTCCACCGCACAGCACCAGCCCCRGCAGGCCCTGCTCACCTCGTTGCTGGCCTGCCGCAAGCTGGGGCTATTCTCATACAGCACCATCCAGAGCGCAAAGAGGAACATGAGCAGCCCGTGACCAACATCCCCGAACATGATGGCAAAGATGAAGGGGAACGTGATGATGGCATAGGGTGCTGTGGGGCACAGGGAGCATATCACATGGGACCATCCTGGGCACTGCTGGCTCCTCACTCCTCCTTGGGGCAGGTGTCCCTACCCGGGTTCACTTCCTGGTAGCTGGCCACCCCGTAGGCATCCACGATGCTTTGGAAGCCAGCGGTGAACTTGTTGGTGCGGATGAGCGTTGGTGGGCTCTCCGAGGTGGGAATGCGCTGCACGAAGCACTCCACGCTCGAGCCACTCTTGTACTGCAAGGAAGGCACCCAGCGTGTGACCCTCCCCCGGCTGTACCCACACCATGGGAGAGCAAGGGGCAAGGGGGACTCGAGTTTGGGTGGGAGCACACACAGGACACCAGAAGGGTGTCACAATCCCTGGAAGAGTGGGTACACAGCACCCTAGGTACAAGAAGTGGGATTTGTGTCTCATTACGGGCACAAGATTTTGATGTGGAGYGTTCCCTCCATGACCATGGGGTGCAACAAGCACTCCTCGGCAYGGAGTGCACTTACCCCGGCACTTACCTGCTCCCCACATGAAGGGTACAGGGGCACCTACCGATCCCTGGCGCAGGGCCTCCTGCACCTGCGTGAGGTCCTGCACGGGACACCAGACCTCGGCGATGAGGCACTTCTCAGTGACGTCGAAGCTGCACTGGTTGAGCACCAGGTAGACAGCCTTCATCTTCTGCACCTGCACCCGCCATGTGGGCAGCACCAGCAGCACCTTGTCCAGCACCTGCGCCAAGTACTGCTCCGTCTCCTCCAGCACCTGCGGCACCGGGGGCAGCGGGTCAGGTGCCAGGGGCCCTGGGCACCCACCCCGCACTTGCTGCATCACGGCAGTGTCCTGCTCACCATGCTGAGGTCCTGGATCTGGCTGAGCAGCCCCGACAGGGTCTCCTTGCGGCTCGTCTCACTCTCGGGGTAGGGGTACAYGTGGCAGTGGAAGCTGGGGCAGGTGCACGCGCGTTGGGGACGCCAAGGGCTCCCCGGGGCAGCCCAGCCCAGCCCAGATGCCCACCCTGCATCCCAGAGCCTGCTGGGCCGCAGAGAGCGGCCAGGGCTCGAGGCAGCATCCTCCGTGCAATGATGTCCTGGGCAAAGCGCATAGCCAGCAGCACCCACACRGACGGGCAGGCACAGAGAAAGGGATGCAGGCCTGGGCGGCCACGGGAAGGGACAGGGACGGGCGCGAACCTCGCAAAATAAACCTTTCCACAGCAAAACCATGTGACGCTGGGGAGCAGGCGCATGCGGGGACGCTGTGGGGACGCGGCGCCGCGGGGAGGCACTGGAGATGCGCTCTCACCAGTCGGAGATCTTGCGGATCTTCTGCCCTATCTGCTCGCCCCAGTAGGAGATGAGGAAGATGACCCAGGTGATGCTCTCACCCTGGGGGGCGGCACAGGCCATGTTAGCCCCGGTGCCCCTTCCCCGCTGGTGCCCCAGGCCAGCCTCACCGCCTCCCGGCGCTCACCGTGGCCGGGTCCTCCATGGGCTCGGGCATCTCCACGAAGTTGGCCACCAGGTAGCCACGGCAGGCGCGCCACAGCAGCCGCTCGAAGGCGCTCACCCGCCATGGGTGCACGATGCCGGCCACAAAGCTGCCGTGGCGCCAGCAGCACCGTGAGCACCCACACGGCCCCACAGCCGTGCCCCCCAGCTCCCACGGTCCCGCTCCATGCCCGCCAGGCCCCGCTTACTTGATCTTGCGGTCGAGATGCTGGCTCACGGACGGGTCAAGGAGGGGCTCGCGCTCAGAGTGCGCCCGGGGCCGCGGTGGGGAGCCCAGCGGCGCCTGCCGTGCCAGGGAGCGAGGATGAGGAGGGCAGCGGGGAGCGGCCTCACAGTGCCCAAGGGCACCCACAGCCGGCACTGGGGGCCCGCGAGGACCCACCGGGAGGCTGGTGAAGCGCTGGCCCTCTCGCAGGACATGCAGGTACTCGCGGAGCTCGCGCAGGCGCCCGCGCAGCGACTCCCGGTTGCGGCTGACCTCGCGCAGCTCCTGCGCCAGCTGCTCCGACTGCTCCTGGATGCGCAGGGCGTCGCGCGCCGGCGGTGCCGGCGGGTTATCCACGCACGGCCCCAGTGCCCGCCCGGCCCTGCGCAGCTCCTGCTGCAGGAAAGCTGCGGGAGAATGGTTGGCGATGGGCATGGAGGCAGCCGGGGCAACACTGCAGCCCAGGGCATCCTTCCCCTTTCCCCTTTCCCCACATTCCCCCTTCGCCCTGTGGGCACCGGGGAACTCACTGAAGGTCTTCTCCATGTCCTCGCAGCGCCGCACCTCGCCCACAAAGCGCCGCTGGAACGCGCTCACGTTGGGGTTCAGCTGCAGGAGGGAGGGCAGCGCGGGGTGGGCGCCCACCCGCGCCAGGGCCCCCACCGTCCCCCCAGCCCCTACGTACGTCCCTGAACTCCAGCAGCCCCCGCTCGCCCAGCTCGCTGACGCACGTGTAGGCCGAGGCCGACTGCAGGAAGAGCTGCGCCAGGCAGACCTCCTCGCTGCGGAACAGGGCGCCCATGGTRCCGCGCCGAGGGGGCGCGCAACGCAGCGCAACGGGATGGGACGGGATGGGACAGCGAAGCCGGCGGCGCCCGTCGAGGCGCGCGGGTCCCGCCGTGTGCCGCGGGTCCCGCCCGCCGCCGCTGCCAAAGCCCTCCCCGCGCCCCGCGCCCGCCCCGCGCCCCGGCGGCCGGCCCGGGATGGAGGCGGCACCACGGCCCGCCCCGCACTTCCTCTTCCCCAGGAAGGGCCCGGGCGGCGAGGGAGGGACCGAGCACGCGGCGCCACCGCCGCGGGCGGGGGCTGCACGCGCCGCCCCCGGAACCCCCGCGCTCCCCAGCCCGCTCCCGGGAGCCCCGTCCCGGCCCCGGGAGCCCTGCGTGCTCCCTGCCCCGCGCCCACGAGCCCCAGGCCTCTCGCGCGTCCCCGCAGCCCACRGGCCCCCCGCGCGCTCCCTGCCCCGTCGCTCCCGGGAGCACCGCGGCCCCCGAGCCCTTGCAMGGAGACCGGCTGCGGCCACGGCCCCTCTACCTGCCCCCCTCCTCGGGGGGCTCCTCTCCCCCTCCCCCCCCACCAGCTCATACTCTCCCGCCTCCCAGTGCTCCCACCTGGACTGGGAACACCCARCCGGTTCCCAGCGCTCTCCCCTAAGATGCTCCCAGGCACCTCAGGCCAGAGATGCCCAGGGGCCATGGGGGCCAGTGAAGATGAGGGGCTTCAGTCCCCGCTCCTCCCCACACACATACATACATAGACGCAAAGGAAAACACGAGGCCTGAGTAGGAAGGGGCTAGTGGCCCAGGCCCTTTATTAGGGATGAGGGAGGGGGCAGCGGCGCGGRCTCTGAAGGTCACCGGTACAGGTAGTCAGCCTGGATGTTGGCCGCGATCTCCGCCTCCCACTTGTCACCGTTGTTGAGCAGCTTCTCCTTATTGTACAGGAGCTCCTCGTGCGTCTCGGTGGAGAACTCGAAGTTGGGGCCCTGCCGGGAGCGGGATTAGGAGGCGCCCCCCTCAGCACCGGCCTCATCGTGCACCCCCCACTCCAGCCGTGCTCACCTCCACGATGGCATCCACGGGACAGGCCTCCTGGCAGAAGCCGCAGTAAATGCACTTGGTCATGTCGATGTCATAGCGCGTGGTGCGGCGGCTGCCATCCGCCCGTGGCTCCGCCTCGATGGTGATGGCCTGGCGCAGAGGAACGCACTCAGCTCCTGCTCCGGCCTGGAGAGGCACCCCGGACAGCAGGAGGAGGAGAAGGAGGAGGAAAGCTCACCTGGGCAGGACAGACGGCCTCGCAGAGCTTGCAGGCGATGCAGCGCTCCTCTCCAGATGGGTAGCGCCGCAGCGCGTGCTCGCCACGGAAGCGTGGGCTCAGCGGGCCCTTCTCAAAGGGGTAGTTGATGGTGGCCGGCTCCCGGAACAGGTAGCTCAGAGTCATGGCCAGGCCTGGAGGGGAGACAGAGGAACAAAAAGGAGACAAGTGCCAGTGGGTGCAAAGGACGGCGCTCCCCCAAGGCAGTCGCGAGGCCCATGGGCTCCCGAAGGACATTCCTGCCTCTGTTAGCRCTGAACAGCAGCGTGCCAGCAAAGGCACCAAGTGCCATGGGGCTCCCACACAGCCCAGGGCTCTGCCGGCACCATGGTGCTCACCTCGAAACAGCTCCGTCCACAGCAGTGTCTGGGCAGCGCGGTCGGTGACGGCCTTCATGTCCATGGCCGGCTCCTGGACATTCACGTACTCTGCGGGGAGAGCGGCACCGTGCGCGGGGAGCGCGGCAGGAAGGAGATCCGCGGCAGCGGGGCCCGGTACTCACTGTAGGAGTCCCTGCGGGTGCTGGTGCCGAACGGACGCAGGCAGCGCTGCCCAGCCGCAGCGCCGGTGGGAGCACACAGCACTCGGGGGCAGCTCATGGCGGGAGGTGGCGCGGAGCAGTGCCCGGCGGGGCCCTCAGCTGCGCGTGCCGCCCGGCAGAGCAAGCGCAGCGCCATGGTCGTCCTGCAGCRGGACAGCGGCCTCACCATCACTCACTGCCCCAGGACAGCACCATCRGGGCTGGCACCGTGGGCTGGTACCTGGAGGGCTCCCAATGACAGCTGGGGCTGCCAGCTGGCGCCCGGGATTCCAGGACACCCCCCACCTCCTACAAGGGACTCGGGAGTCCGGGACTCCCTCCCATCTCCCCCAACGGACCCAGGCGTCAAGGACCACCCCAACCTTCCCCAAGGGACCCAGGTGTCTGGGACTCCCTGCCACCTCCCCCAAGGGATCTAGGTGTCCAGGACCCCCTTACATCCCACAGGGACTCGGGTGTCCGGGACACTCCCCCACCTCCCCCAAGGGATCTAGGTGTCCAGGACCCCCCCAGCCTCCCTCAAAGGACCCGGGTGTCCGGGTCTGCCCCCCCACCACCTCCCCGAAGGGACCCAGGTGTCCGGGACCCCCTCCCATCTCCCCCAAGGGACATGGGTGTCCGGGACACCCCCAACTTTCCCCAAGGGACCCGGGTGTCCGGGATCCTCCCACCTCCTACAAGGGACCCAGGTGTCCGGGACGCCCCCCAAGGGACCCGGGCCTCCTGCCCTCCCCCMCAAGGGACCCGGGCCTCCTGCCGCCCCCCAAGCGCCCAGACACCCTCCCGGTGATCCGGGTGTCCCGACTACCCTCTTCCCAAAAGACCCCACCCCCGCTGAGGGGCCCAGGCCTCCGGGCGCCCCTTTTACCTCCCCCCCAAGGACCCAGGCGTCCTGACCCGCTGCGCCCGCCCCCGAGACGCGGCGCGCAGGCGCGCCGGCCAGCGGCGCATGCGCAGCGGCGCCCACGGCACCGGCTCGCGGAGGCGGGACGAGCTGGGGGAGAGGGGGGCGGGCCAGACAGCGCTCAGCTCGCCTCTCATTGGCTGCGCTGCGGGAGAGTGGGTGGGAACTTGGAGGTCGCAGGGGTARGGGGCGCGGCGAGACTGGAGGTCCTGGGTTCGAGGCCAGCGCGGGGCTGTTCATGGCGGGAGGAGGTTGGGGAAGGGGCAGGGGACGCGGTGAGACTGGAGGCCGCGGGTTCGAGGCTGGCAGGGCTGTTCATTGCAGGAGGAGGTTGGGGAAGGGGCAAGGGACGCGGTGAGACTTGAAGTCGCGGATTCGAGGCTGGCGCGGGGCTGTTCAGGGTGGGAGGAGGTTGGGGAAGGGGCAGGGGACACGGTGAGACTGGAGACCGCGGGTTCGAGGCTGGTGCGGGGCTGTTCATGGCGGGAGGAGGTTGGGGAAGGCATAGGGGATGTGGCAAGACTCGAAGCCGCGCATGCGGGGTAGGCGGCTCTGTCGGCAGGTGTTTATTGCGTGTGGCGGCTCAGAGGAGGGTGCAGGCGGGTGCACGGCGCGTCTCCRTGGCAGCGCGCAGCAGCAGCAGGCGGCGCGTGCCGTAGGGTGGGTAGCGCGGCGCGTTGAGGGCCTCGCGGCCGGCGGCGCGCAGCAGCGCGGCGCGCACGTGTGAGAAGGTGTCGAAGGAGAAGCGGCCGTGGTAGCAGCCCAGCCCGCTGTGCCCTGCGCAGAGCCAGGCGTCAGGGCCGGGCGGCCGGCCGCACGCGGCAGCGGGACGCGGGGGTGGCCATACCGATGCCGCCGAAGGGCAGCGCGGGAAGTGTCATGTGCATCACGGTGTCGTTGCCGCAGAAGCCGCCGCTGCTTGTGTGCTCCAGCACGCGCTGCAGTACCTGTGGGCAGCAGGACGAGCGCAGGGCTCCCTCCTGCCCCGCGGCCGCCCTCCTGCCACCGCACGTGCGCTGGCGCCTACCTTCCGGGAGGAGGAGAAGACGTAGAGMGCGAGCGGGCGCTCCCGCGCGTTGATGAAGGCCACGGCCTCGTCCTCRCCGGCCACGGTGAGGATGGGCAGCACGGGCCCGAAGATCTCCTCGCGCATGACAGCATCCTCGGGCCGCACGTCCACCAGCACGGTGGGCGCTGTGGAGACAGGACACCGTGGGACGGACGCGGCGGCTCTACTGCACCATCGGCCTCCCCATTGAGGGGCCGCGTGGGGAGCCCTGGGCACCTCAGCACCGCTCAAGCCCGTGTGCTCACCTATGTAGCGCTCCTGCTCGTCCACCTGCCCCCCGATGGCCGCGTGCCCACTGCCCAGCAGMGCCYGSAYGCGMYGGAACTGCTTGTCGCCCACGATGCGGGCRAAGTCGGGCGACTCCTTGGGTTCGGGGCCGTAGAACTCCGTAATGGCCTCGCGCAGGGCGGGCAGCAGCTTCTCCCGCATCTCCGCGCTGCACAGGATGTAGTCGGGTGCCACGCAGGTCTGCCCCGCGTTGAAGAAGCGCCCCCAGGCCACACGCCTGGCCACATTGTGCACCTCACAGTCGTCAGACACGTAGCAGGGGTTCTTGCCCCCCAGCTCCAGCGTCACCGGGGTCAGGTGCTTGGCGGCGGCCATCATGACCGTCCTGCCCACAGAGGGGCTGCCTGAGGGCAGGAGAGCAGCACTGAGTGCCCGGCACCAGGGCTGCCCCTGCATCAGGTCCTGTTCTGGGGACTGTCCCCATCAGCGGCTCCGAGCACCACGGGGCTCTGAGAGCGCAAAGGGCAGGTTTGGCTCTGGCCACGGTGCCTCTCGCTCTCCCGTGCCCATCCTCAAGAGGAAGGAGGGGATGGGGTGCGAGCAGCGGAGCCCGGCTCCTGCGCACGCACCGGTGAAGAAGATGTAGTCAAACTTGTTCTCCAGCAGCTTTGTGGTCTCCTCCACACCGGCCGTCACCACTGCAAAGCAATCCTGCCGTGCCGACAGCAGCGGAGGGAGACACGGGCTGAGCACCGGGCAGAGGCGTGGGGCGCAACCCACAGTAGCTGGGAGAGGGGCTACAGCCAATGGAGAGGAAGGGGGCCAGGACAGCCCTACCTTGTCCAGGTAGCCCAGCAGTGTCTCAGCCACCAAGCGCTCTGCGTTCTTGCTGATCTCAGAGGGTTTCATGACAACGCAGTTACCTGCAGGATGGAGGAATCTCACCACAGGGCGGCTGAGGACTTGTCCATGGTCCTCACCCCACGCAGAGGTCCTGGCGAGCCCCGACACAGGGAGAACACAGCTTCGACTCACCGGCAGCAATGGCCCCAATGAGGGGCACCAGGAGGAGGTGGATGGGGTAATTCCAGGGTGCAATGATGAGCACCACCCCGTAGGGGTCCTTGCGGATGAAGGCTGAGTCCAACTGAATCGCCTGCGGAGGGAAACACAGTGCGAGGAGCCCCCCGCCTCCCTCCCGTGCTTGCCCCGACAGGAACACCCCAGCCRCCAGCCCTTACCCAGTTCTTCTCCACATGTTCATCCTTCATCCAGCTGCCCAGGTTGTTCAGCGTGTGGTGCAGCTCGCTCCTGCAGATGGAGATCTCGGAGATCTCCACTTCGAAGGAGGGCTGGGGTCACAGGGGAGGTCAGCGCAGTGCCCCCTACCGCGCACACAGCGCCACAGCCGCCCCGCGGGGAGGCCTGGGGCAGGGGACGGCGCTGGCAGCACCCCGGGGCGTTGCAGGGGTGAGGATGGGCCTCGGGAGGTGACAACCAGCACGGCAACAGCAGCTGCCRTGCATGCCTGGCCCAATGCCACCCGGTGCCGCCCTGTGTCCTAGGGCAGTGCAGACGCTCTCAAACAGAGACGTGTTCTCRGTAACTCCAGAGCTCTGGCTGCCCTGGGGGCCACGCAGAGCTAGTGCGGAAGCAGCCGGAGCAGCCAGCGCCCCGACCTGCGCCTGGCCAGGCCTTCCCTGGGGCTAATTCGTTCCGCTCTGCGAAGCGGGGGGTCCCCATGCCAAGGCACAGCTGGGCAGCACATTTGGTGTGAGGTTACCAGGTGGGACCTGCCACAGGCCGGGCCCGTCTGGAGGAGTCTGGCCTCACCTTGCGCATGTCAGAGGCCAGGGCCTCCAGGATGTCCTGCTTCTTCTCGTCCAGGAAGCGGCCCAGGGCCTCCAGCTGGGCCACGCGATACTCCATGGGCCGCGTCTTGCCCGCAAGCCACGCAGCCCGCAGGCCGCTCACCAGCCCCGCGTAGGGGTTCATGCTGCCCGGGCTGCAGGAGATGCCGGGACCCTGTGGGTGCCTCCTGCCCCTGAGGCCCCACAGGAGGCTGCAGGAGCAGCTCCGGTTGCGCTGGGTTAAACCCAGAGYGAGGGCAAGCCTGGCAGTGTGCAGGGTGCCGCCCTTCCCGCGGCGGGGAGGCACCCGCAGGCTCGGGGCAGCACAGCAGGGAGCAGGGCACCCCCTCCCCATAGCAGGGGCACGGCAGGGAGCAGGACACCCCCCTTCCCTTGTCGGGGGGCACAGCAGGGAGCGGGACACCCCCTCCCCATAGCAGGGTCATGGAAGGATGCAGGACACCCCCCTTGTTGGGATCCCCCCCAAGGACAGTGAGGAGCAGAAGGAGGCAGCCCCTGGCATTGGTGACRCATCCCACAGGCAGATTTGTGCTCCAGAAGCAGCGGAGGGAGCCCTTTATTGAGCTCAGCTCTTTCTATGCGTGGCTCTGTAAGCACGTGGGCGGCCAGCGCGGGGGGGCGGCCAGCAGGGACATCCGGAGCAGGAGCCGCCGGAGCAGGGAGAGCAGCACCGTGGGGTGAGCAGGACGGGGAAAGGAGCATGGGAGAGGGTAGGACACAGTGGGGGGGACCCAGGACCGATCCCAATCCCGACCCTGYGCCGTGCAAGGCACCCGCGGGCTCCCCTCATCTCCCAAGCTCCCTCACCTCACCTTGGGCTCCCCAAATCCCCACCCGGCTCCAAGTCCTCAGGCTGGACAAGATAAGAGAGGGCAAAGAGCCTGAAGTGCCCGAGAGTGCGACTCCGATGTGGGGCAGAAGGAAAACAAGCGAGCGCCRGGTGTGGAGTGGAAAAAAGCCAGGCAGGGCCTGGCCGCTCGCCACGGAGCCGCCTCCGGATGCCACGGGCCCCCAAAGAGCCCTCTGTCCTGGCCAGGCCTCTTCCACTGCCCGCAGCGACACCTCCTGGGTGCCCACACGTCCTTGGGAGGAGTGGGGTGATGAGGGCACGGGGAGGGACTGCACATCTGTGGGGCACCAGGAGCAGTGTGGGGTGCAGGGGGCTGCTGGGGCACAGGAGCATGAGGAGAGCAAGGAGTATCAGGGCAGAGGGAGGTGTGGGGGGCACAGGGGTGTGGGGGCATGAGGAATATAGGGGGTGTGGGAGCCTAGGGCTGTGGGCTGGGGTACAGGGTTCATGGATGGTGTGGGGCACGGGGTGTGTGGGGCACAGGGAGGTTTGTGGGGCACAGGAGGCATGAGGAGTATAGGGGTGTTGGAGCCTAGGGCTGTGGGCTGGGGTTCAGGGGGTCATGGATGGCATGGGGCACAGGGGATGTGGGGCACAGGGAGGTTTGTGGGGCACAGGGGACATGAGGAGTATAGGGGTGTGGGAGCCTAGGGCAGCGGGTTGGGGCACAGGGGGTGTGTGGCGCACAGGAAGCAGTAGTTTTGAGYTACAGGGAGGTGTGTTGGGGTACCCAGAGATATGTGGGGCACAGGGTGCATGTAGGGTCCAGGGAGGCATATGGGGCGCGGGACATATGGAACTCAGGGCACAGGCAGGGCTCAGGAGGCATGTGGGGCAGAAGGGGCATAGGCAGGGGGCATGTGGGGTGCAGGGAGCAGATCCATGGGATAGAGGGATGCCCCCCACACACACASCTGCCCTGGGTGCTGCCCCAGCCCTGTGCTCCTGCCCCTGCCCCATGAACTCCCCATGCCAGCCACACCCCCTTCCTGGTGGCTCTGCCTCCTCCTTGGTGGCCATGCCCCCTTCCTGGTGGCCCTACCCAGCTAGGACTCCCATCTACCCCACAGCCCTAGCAGTGGAGGTGGAGAGGGAGGAGGCTCCATTGGAGAAGGTGGAGTCTCCAATGGAGAGGGAGGAGRCTCCATTGGAGAAGGTGGAGTCTCCAATGGAGAGGGAGGAGGCTCCATTGGAGARGGTGGAGACTCCAGTGGAGAGGGAGGAGGCTCCATTAGAGAGGGAGGAGGCTGTGGGGATGGGAGGAGGTTCTGGCGATGCTGCTGGGTTTTGCAAGTGCGGTTGGGTCGCAGTGCAGGGAGCGCAGCGTGCAGGAACGCCCGCCCAGGGCGGCCCAGGCCCCGCTCAGAGCAGGGTGCAGGCGCCCTGCCTCTTAAGCTCGGTGGCAAGGCGCACGAGGCCCGTCTTGTGCGGGTTGTAGGGCGGGTAGCGCAGCGCGTTGATGGGCTCCAGGGCCGTGGTGCGCTGCAGGCAGCCGCGCTGGTGGCTGAACGTCTCGAAGGTGAACTGGCCGTGGTATCTCCCCAGGCCACTCTCCCCTGCAACACACAGCGCAACGGGACGTGAGGGGTCCTGAGCAGGACCCCAAACCAGCCCACTGTACCTAGAGAAGGTGGAGGGCCCGTGGAGAAGGTGCTGCCGTCAGCACCAGTGATAGAGACGGTCGCCTCTTTGCAGGGAGGCCTAAAGAGTAGCAGTGCAGAAGCTGGAGGTGCTTTGAGCGGGAATCCATTTGCCACAGCCAGAGGTGCTTGAGCACCTAGACCACTTGGTGGATAAAGCTGGTCTTTTCTTTGTCTTAAGCTCCCCTTTTGTAGCTGCTTCCAGCATCTGCTCTCAAGTTTCTGTTCTCTTTTTATGCCAGCTGGGAAACTGTAAGTACCTTACTGAGCACGAAACCTTGCCTGATAACAAGCAACCTCGAAGGAAGTCACTCACAGATGCCCTATGGGAGTGGGAACTATGGTGAGATGCTCCCATGAACTGAGCTGAACCCTCCAGCTTCCATAAGATGGAGACCACCCAAAAGACCCATCCGTGCTCTCAACAGCGGCTGCAGACTCATCCCCCTGCACTGCCTGGCTCTGCATTGGCCCCAAGCTCGCGGAAGGGGAACGAGCTGCTGTGGCCCGGTCGTGTGGCACTGCCCCCAGGAGACAGCATCAGTCCCACAGGTGGTGAGGCTCCAAGAGTGGAGACAAGGACACATCCATGTAGGTTGCTTGGGGTTGTGCAGTGCCCTGGCAGGATTCTCACCCCTTCCCGAGAAAAGGGGGAATTGCTCCCGGAAAAGGAAGGCCGGCTACCTGGGAGCGAGCCGGGCAGGCTGCAGAGATGGAAATAAGGAAATCCTGCTGGGTGCCATGATCTGGCGTGGTGAGCTGCCCTGCCTTCCTGATAACATGCAAACCCCAGCCAAAGCAGTGGATGGATTGCAGTGTCTCACACCAGCAGCCGCTGTGCAGAGCAGGGTCACTGTCTGGTCCCATCCAGCCCTGCATTGCCCATCCATCTGTCCTGCACTGAAGAGTGGTTCCACACAGCGAGGTGGGACGCGGATGGCTCTTTGCAATGTACCCATCTCCCGTGGAGGCAAGTGGGTTCTGCCCTGGGTCCCTGCCCAGCTGTGGCCGCAATCCAGCCAGCTGTGACCAGGAAATAATGATGGGTTTTCACTGGGGAGATGGGCCACTGARGAGGCCCCTGAAGACTTGGGAAAGACTTGGGAAAGATGCAAATGAGAATTTGTCACTGATCCCAAGGTGTTTTGAGTAGAAGAGACACGCAGGCATGGATGTTCCATCCTGTGGAGACCCTGTCCCACCATGGCCTGCGTGACTCAGACTCATGGTTGTTGGGCTGGTCACACCTGCCTCACACTCGGCCAAGGCCAAGCAGGGCTGGGGCGTTTGGACCTACCAATACCACCAAAGGGCAGCGAGGTCAGCGTCATGTGCATCAGGGTGTCATTTCCACAGAAGCCGCCACTGCTTGTCCGCTCCAGCACCTCCTTCACCACCTGGGAGGGAAGCAGAGAGGGCAGACGTGTCACTCAGCCCTTGTCCCTTMAGCTCAAGCTTCAGTTCTTCACCCACGCTCAGGACTTTCTGGTCTAACCAAAACCCCTGGGGTACCAGCATGGCTGAACACACCTGAGGYCAGTGAAGCTCTCTCACCACTGACAGCGCTTGCCAGACACCAGGCAACTCCAGCAGCAGCCCATGGGTGCCCAGAGCAGCCCCTGGGAGCTCTCTTCTCTTGGCCAGCAGGCACTGTCCTATCTCAGTCCCAAACGAGCAACCCATCACAGGCTGAAGTCAGCCTGAGTTCATGCGATCCTACCGATAACATCCAAAACTCAGTTAAAGGTGTCCCGAGTTCAGCTCAGGCTCTTCCCTGGTCCAAGGAACACTTGCACATCCCACGGCTTTGGAGGCCTGCTCAGCACTCATGGCCATATGGGAATTCCCACCTGTGTGTGGCTGTGCAGCCTTACTAGTCCTTACTCTGTCGAGAGAAGGAGGAACAGCTGGTGCCAGACACAAGTTCAGGCCATGGTCATGGTTATCAGCCAGATAGGAGCGAGTTTTGCAGCCCTATTGTGCTTCATCCATCTTCCAGCCTGAACACCCACCTTCTTATCCGAGGAGAAGACATAGACAACCAGGGGCCGCTCACGGGCATTGATAAAATCAATGGCTTCATCCACGCTTCTTACTGTGATGATGGGCAAGATGGGCCCCAGGATGATGTCTTGCATGATGGGATCAGAGGGTTCCACATCCACCAGCACCGTGGGAGCTGGAAAAGAAAAAAAGAAAAAAAGGGAAAAAAAAAAAAAAAAAAGAGGAAACTGGAATTCATCACCCATACCCAGAGATGGGAGATATCACCCCACCTGATCCTCTTGCCCTGATCTGTCAGGTGATTTCTCTAAGACAAGAGGCCCTACCACCCTCCCAGTTTGCCCTCTTTCCCTGTAAGGATCCCTGTGCAAACCCTCCCTATGAATCTCCTGTGTCTGGCACCTTCCTTGTGGTTGTGAGCTCCTCTCCAAAAACCACAGGGCATTCCCAAGAATGAGCACATCTGTATGAAGTTCCAGCTGTGATGTCCTCACCGATGTAGCGCTCCTGCTGGTCCACCTGCCCCCCGATGGCCGCACGTCCACTGCTCAGCAGCGCCTGGATGCGATGGAACTGCTTGTCCTCCACRATGCGGGCAAAGTCGGGCGACACCTTGGGGTCGGGGCCGTAGAACTCGGTGATGGCCTCGCGCAGGGCGGGCAGCAGCTTCTCCTGCATCTCGGCGCTGCACAGGACGTAGTCGGGTGCCACGCACGTCTGCCCTGCATGGAAGAAGCGCCCCCAGGCCACACGCCTGGCAACGATGTGCACCTCACAGTCGTCAGACACGTAGCAGGGGTTCTTGCCCCCCAGCTCCAGCGTCACTGGGGTCAAGTGCTTGGCAGCGGCTGTCATGACCGTCCTACCCATGGCAGGAGAGCCTGAGAGCAGGAGAGGCATGTCAGAACAGCCCCCGCGGCCAGGCCCCGTGGGACACACATCAGACCCCACCATGGGGACATACCGGTGAAGAAGATGTAGTCAAATTTGTTTTCCAGCAGTTTGATGGTCCCCTCCTCATCAGTGCTCACCACGGCATAGCAGTCCTGCAGCACAAGAGGAAGGGTCCCAGCCCCTCTGTGAGCATCTACCAGCCTGGCCCTCTCTGCCCCATCCCCACACAGAGCACCCAGGAGCGCTGGGCACGGATTAGGGGCTGTGAACAGGGGCTGAGTGTGCRGAACAGCCAGCTGTGCAGCGGGCAAGGCGCCTAGCGCTAGTTCAGCGCCCCATTTGCTGGAAGGAGCACTTGAGAACAGGGAGCAGCTCTGCTGTGGGTGCATGTGGGGCAGGCACGGGGCCTGGCGTGCACAGGACACAGCTCTGCACACGGGACCGGGGAGTGCCCTGGCCTCAGGACAGGGGCAAGCATGGGGAGCTTCTACCTGGTCCAGGTAGGAGGGCAGCACTTCGGCCATGAGTGTCCTGATGTTTTCGGTGGCCTCYGAGGGTTTGAGAATGACACAGTTGCCTGGTGGGGAGACAGGCAGGATGTGAGAGCAGCGACACCCCAACAGTCAGTGCCCCGGGCACTGCCACCTCATGGGCTGGACCCRCTGGTCCAGAGGGCRGCTTTGGCTCTGGCACAGCCCAAACTCACCCGCCGCGATAGCCCCGATGAGGGGCACAAGGGCTGGCAGGATTGGGCAGTGCCAGGGCGGGATGACAAGCACCACCCCGTAGGGATCCTTGCGGATGAAGGCTGAGTCCAGCTGAGTCACCTGCGAGAAAAGCCATCATCAAGTGAACATCAGCAAGGCTGCTTGCAGGACAGGTCCAGAGCAGCACAGCTGTTGCCTCCCAGTGTTGCTCTTGCTGCACACAACCCCTCCATCCCACACCGTGCAGCCTCCCAAGGGTGCACCCTTTCCCCGCTTCTCCTCTTCCTCTTTCYCCTTACCAGGTTCTTTTCCACGTGCTCATCCTTCATCCAAGTGTCCAGCTTGTTAAGGGTGTCGTTGAGCTCATTCTTGCACAGGACGATGTTGCTGTACTCCGCTTCAAAGGACGGCTGGGGACACGGAGCTCTCCGTGTGAGACGGAGCACAGGGACGATGCTTCCATAACCCTGCATCTTCCTGGGCTTCCCCCCACCTTCCACACGATTCAGGGACCCAAACCCCTCACATAACCTGACCACACCGTGGTTAACATGCTTGCTGCTCCCAGTCCTGAGCTATATGGCGCTGCAGGGATGTGGGACAAGTGCCCTCACTCTTCCTGCAATCACCTTGGCCTTGAAATTCCTATCGCAGGTGTCACCRGCATGGGAATAGTGCCAGCTCCGAGACGGCGCTGCCAGCGCTTTCCTAGGGGAAAGTGGGAAGCTGGGGAGAGCAGGACTTAAAAGAGAGGGAGACAGGTGATGGGACCAGGGGAGAGGGAGAAAGGTAACAGGAGCAGGGGGCGACACTGGGGGTTTTTTTGAGGATCCGAGCTTGTTAAAAAGGGGAACTGCAGCTGCCTGACTAAGCACAGCTGGCACTATCAATAAATACCAGCCTGCTGAAAAGAGGAACAGGACGGTGGATATTTAGAGAAGCCACAGGTCTTCAGATTAGCAAGACCTGGGATGGGGGGGAGGTTTCATCCTAGGGATGCAGGAAACTATGTGAAGCAGGCTCAAAACCTCTCACCCTTATCTCTGGAAAACAGGGGTGGGAGAGAGTCCAGAAGGCCGGAAAAGGCCCTGTCTGGGACATCATTTAAAGAAATGGAAAAAGGAGGGTGCAGGAACCCAGAGACACTCCTGACCCCAGCAGAAGGTGAATAAGAACAAGGTGAACAAGGTAACGCAGTTGAACAAGAAGCAGAATGGGGACTCTGCAGGAAGGTCTCATCAGTAAACCATGCACTTAGTCTTGAGTGTGCAGGCACTTCTCACCATGGAAAGTACTCTTGGGAAAAAAACAATCCGGAAAAACAAATCCTCATGGCCCACAGAGAAGCAGTAGCCATTTATTGCACCCTGGATTTTCCCACAGAAGAGGTGGTGAGTAGGGAATGAAGGGAGCATGCTTGAAGCAAGCCAAAAGAAGCACTTCTTCACAGGATGTGTGGGTAAGTTGTGCCTCAATAGCACTTTGCTCAGCTCACTGCAGGTGGTAAAAGTCTGCATGGGTTCAAGGGAAGACTTGGATAAGGTCATGGAAGAGGAATCCATGACCCAGGCTCTTGGTATTTAAAGTATAGAAACCATGTCTGGCTCAAGAAGTTTTTAAGACATAAATTGTGAGGGGCTGGGAGACTATCTGAAAGTATCGTAAATATTTGCCCTGTTTGTAAGCATCCTGACAGGCCTTTGATCTCACTCCATACACCGGCTTTACATTCATATGTAAGCTGGGGAACGTGGGCTGAGATACAACTATTGCTGGTGCTTTGGGCCATAACCCCGAGCAAGGTGCTGACAGCCTGGATTCGGTATGGGCAGATGGACAGAAGACCATGTCCACTAAAGCGTTCCTGCTTGGGTTCCTGAAAAGGGTTTCAGTGGTGGCGTTATTTTCTTACCAGAGGGTGGAGAAGTGGAGAATCCCATCAGCAAGCTTTAGCTGCTAGCTTTCTCAGCCCCACTACTCGTGGCTCYTCAGAAGAAGCAGGAGCCAGATATTCCTTAAAGGTTGCCTARGAGCATTCCCACACACACATGCACTGTTAGGTAAATCCCACAGGGCTGCCTTGAGGACGCGTGCCCAGGGAACGTCTGTCYGGGACCAGCTCAAAGCTGCTCCTGGCGTGGGCAGTGTCCTGTCATTACTGTATAAAAGACTGAGAGCTTCTCAAAAGGGAAATTGCAACTAAGAAGGAGAACAAAAGGTTGTTATGAGCCCCATAGAATGCATAAAGACCTGCCTGTGGTAGAACAAGATGTTCCAAAAGGGGAAAATATTGAGCTTGGGAGGCTTGAGTTTTTTAAGAACGGGATGCATGGGATGGGTCTGACTTGGCTTTTTCTTTAGGGACCCTGACATAAGTGTGATAAAGGGAGCAAAGAGGCAGGGACACAATCAAGACGAGGCAGAGCCAGGCTAGGAGACTTCAGCCCTGTGTAACCATGGAGAAAAGAGAACGGACAATATTCAACATAAGGCCCAAGATGGGGAGCAGACAAAGAGATTGGCAAGAATTTGCGCTCCTCAAAGACTCACGTGGCCAGAGAAGAGCTGAGAAGTTTGGGAGGCGGGGAGAAGGCCAGGGTATCTGGATGCCTGTCCCAGCCCCTCATGGACCAAGGCACTGGGACTGGCTGGCACTGAGGGGAGCCCTGGTGTCAGGTCCATCCTGGGCTTTGTGGGTGAGAGATGGCGAAAGGTCGGTGGTGGAGGGCAGGGAAGGTCTGATGGGCCAAGCCAGACAGGCTCATGTAGCACTGAGGGGTGGGCTGCCCTCACCGGAGACAGGGAGGAGCTCTTGGTGAGGTGGGCTGGGACGTGCTCCACACACAACCCTGTCCCGTCTCCGCACTGCCTCATCCGACTCCACTCACCCCCACGGGCACCAAGGCTAGGGCAAGAGACCCACTCTGATGGGGTCCCCTGTGYCCCACGCCCTGTGCTGGCACCCAGCAGGATTCAGGACCCTGGCTGGGAGGGGACACAGACTCCAAATCTCTTCCCTGCCATGCCCAGCACTGTCATCCGCCAAGATGCAAGACCCCAAAAAGGGGAAGGCCCAACAAGGGCACCCCCGTGCCCACCCATGCCTCCACGCAGCCCCTCACCTCGTGCATGTCGGAGGCCAGGGCGTCTAGGAGGTCCTGCTTCTTCTCGTCCAGGAAACGGCCCAGGGCCTCCAGCTGGGCCACGCGAAACTCCACGGGCCGCGTCTTGCCTGTGAGCCATGCTGCCCGCAGGCCGCTCACCAGCCCCGCGTAGGGGTTCCCGCTGCGGGATGCAGGTGTCACACAGAGCCCTGGCTCCCTGCCCTGTCTCGGCCCCRTGTGTCCCCTCATCCCTGCCCCGGGACCACACTGGAACCCAAGAGCCCTGGGACAAGGCAGGGCATCCAGCCATGAGAAAGAACCACTCGTGTCCGCCTGCCTCACCTCCCTTCGTGCCCTCTGCTCTCACCTCATGGCATTGCTGGCCGTGCCCCCGTTGCTGCTGCCTCCATCAGCCCCCGGCGCTTTGCTGGCCCSACTGCCTGCGGGGTGGCTCTTGCTGGAGCCCAGGGGGCTGCTGGCCTCCATGGGGCGGCAGGGGGCAGGTGAGGCCGGGGCGGCTGTCCCGAAACTGCCGCTGCCTGGTGCTCAGTGAGAGGCTGGCTGCTTGGCCCACTTGGAGTGACACAGCCGGCTTGGTTCAGGACCCACGGAGAAGTGCCGAGTGCGCCTGTGGGCGCCCAGGCTTCCCGGGCGCTGTGGGATGGGGCGGGCTGCGGGAGGCACCGCCAGCTTCCTGCTCCCCTGGGAGCCTCTTCCCCATGGATGCTGAGTCAGCGCTGGCTTGGCGCCCCCCACCCCACTCCCCCCTGCCCCCGCACCGCCGCAAGCCAAACCACCGGGATGGCAGACACGCACGGGCAACATGGCCCACTGGAGACCCCGTCAGCTGCCCCCGGCACCTCTCTGTGCTCCACACTCCCATCCTGGAGGGACCTGGGTGGGCAGCAAAGGGCAGGGCAAAGGCGGCGCAGGATGAGGCCGGACAGCAGAGCTCAATGCAAAGTCTTTACTAAAGGTTGCACAGAGGTAAAAGCGGCAGCTGACACTGAAAGCAGGGAGAGCAAGGTCCACCTGGAAGAAGAAGGTTGTCATGCTGGAGAAATGGAGCTAAGTGTTGGTCCTGAGCAGTGAGGAGAGTATTTCTCTACCGGGAGGAGAAATGTAGGGCAAGAAAGCAGGAAATCAGGACATTCCCAACAAAATATGTGTTGTTTCAGATCTGTCCATCATGGCAAATGGTCCAGGGCAGAGGCATAGACCATTTGTCATGGGGAGGAGCAAGCAAATGGGGCTGGCTGGACGTAAATGTCTGTCCCCACTGTCCTACGCATGGGATGGCAACGARCCAAAGGACATGGCAAGGGAACCGGGGGCTGCTGCAGGGACAGGAGGAGCAGGCCAGCGTCCTGGAGAAAGCAACAGTGTTCCTGGGGCCCATATGGAGGCCAGGCCGGGAGGTCTTCCCCCAGGCCAAGCAGCCTGTGGTGGCCGTGGGCAGCGCTCAGCAGCGCTCAGAGCAGGGTGCACATGCCCCTGCGCTTGATCTCGAAGGCAGCCGTCAACAGCCCCAGCTTCTGCTGATTGTAGGGCGGGTAGCGCGGGCAGTTGATGGCCTCCAGGCCCATGTTGCGGTGCAGGCAGCTGCGGTGGTGGGTGAAGGTGTCGAAGGTGAACTTGCCGTGGTATTTCCCCAGGCCACTGTTCCCTGCAACACACAGCACAGCTCTCTGCTCATGCCCACTCCAGCACAGTAAACGCAGGGAAAATGTGTTACGGGCCTTCCTGGTGTAAACACTCATGCTGATGGGTGACACTGGTGACAGGGGAGGAGCTGACAGGCGTAGTGTTGGAGTGGGGAGCAGCATCGAGTTACYGTGGCATGGGAGGCTCGCAGAGCATGAGCCACACTGAGCTCTTCCACTTCCCTAGCGCAGAAACAACCTCAAAAACACGTCCGTGCTCTTGGCACCGACTGCGGGCCCATCACGCATGGAGAGCAGCTCTCCCGAGCAAGGCCTGAGCTCTGYGTCCACGCACAGCAGAAACTGGCACACAACAAGGTGGCTTCGGTGGCACCTCACAGAACCGGGTAGTGCCCTGCTACTCCTRAGATCCGGAATCACATCGGCAACACCGATTCCTCTGATTCCTGTGGCTGGGTTAAGCCTGAGGTTGCACATCACGCTTAATAGCTCAGTGACTTCATATCTAAGTTACTGTAGCATCTGCTGAAAGCCGTCTTGGCCTAGTGACTTCATATTTGTCACCTTATCAGGTTGATAGAAAACTACTCTACCTGATGCTATGAGACAGTTTTTGAGAATCATTTCCATAAAAGAAAGCTAAGATAYGAAAACTACCAAAACTTGTTCCCTAATTCATAGTTAACCAGGGAATTCACCTGGCTTTGCTGCCACAGCCATCATTTATGTCTGAATCATCTGTCAACAGGGAAGTTGCCTCCCCATGTGTATCACTTGGACAGGGCACTGATTTTAGTTTTCAATAAAGTATTCAGCTTTTACTGGCTAGTCAAACCGGTTGGTTATTTTAATGGTTCTCTCCAAGTCTGTCCTTTGTGAAGTCTCTGAATATCCCATTCTTTTGCGTGTTCATACGCCGGAGACGGTTCATCTCAGCTAGCTCTAGGTTAGCCACTGTGGTCATCCGAACTTACCCGAGTCCCTCCTAACACTGTATTTCTGTAGGCAATGAACCTACCAGGATCCGCAGGTCATTTACGTTCAGTTTATCCACTTGCCTTACTTGGCTCTGTGCTTTCTCCAGTGAAAAGTGCTACTGCTTCATGTTGAGCTTAAACCTTAGATAATCTACACTGAGATCCAAGGACTGGGAGAATATCTTGAAGTGTCTGGGGGACTGGGGAAATGCTCTGAGAAAGCACTGGTAGTGGCTTTCTGTATTCCCATGCTCTTCCTTGGACACTGAGTTGAGAGAAAGGCTACAAGCAGAGTCTGGAGCTAGACAGACCCAGCATTTCACAACTCTTATGATCATATAAGGCAAACAACTCCTTGCTGATGGCCGGGCTCTCTCCAAGTTACCACAAACTGATTTTCAAGAGGTTTGCAAGCTCTTCTAAGGGCTTAGCAGTACAAAATGTATTTCCCTGGAGATATTTATCTAGGCATAGGCAGGTTTCACTGAGTGCCCTGGAGCTGAGGATCTCAGGGGTCCCATCCCTTGGAGACCCAGTCCCACCATGGCCTGCGTGAGTCAGACACACGGTTGTTGGGCTGGTCACACCTGCCTCACACTCGGCCAAGGCCAAGCAGGGCTGGGGCATTTGGACCTACCAATGCCACCAAAGGGCAGCGAGGTCAACGTCACGTGCATCAGGGTGTCATTTCCACAGAAGCCACCGCTGCTTGTCCGCTCCAGCACCTCCTTCACCACCTGGGAGGGAAGCAGAGAGGGCAGACGTGTCACTCAGCCCTTGTCCCTTCAGCTCAAGCTTCAGTTCTTCACCCACGCTCAGGACTTTCTGCTCTAGCCAAAATCCCTGGAGCACCAGCATGGCCGAACACATCAAAGGCAGCGTGTGCCCRAAATCACTTAGCTCCACCACGAGCCCCTGTGGGCCTGGAGGTGCTAAGTTCAAAAGCAGCTTAAGAGCATGCCCTGGTTTACCAGCCGCATGAGTTCTAGCCCCACAGCCCCACTTGCCTTGCCCCCTTTTTTGATGCAAGCACCACACCTTGTTATCGCAGGAGAAGACATAGAGGGCCAGCGGCCGCGGTCGGGCGTTGATGAAGTCAATGGCTTCATCCATGTTGGCCACGACAACAATGGGCAGGATGGGCCCAAAGATCTCTTCTTGCATGGCGGGATCAGATGCCTTCACATCTGCCAGCACTGTGGGAGCTGCAGAAAGAGATGATGACAGTGCCCAGAAATGGGTGGTCTCATGTGCCCAGGCCATGCCAGCAAACTGCTGCTTTGCAAATTCATTTTTCCAACAAAAGGTCTTATACATCTCTCCATAAGCTTCATTTTCTAGATGTCCATGTTGTCCCTGAGACTAGAGGTTGATGCAGAAACTCCCCGGTGGTTGTGACTCACACCGTGCCTGTTTCCACATCACATGTCCCTGTGCCCACAAGCCAACCCACATCCCTGTATCCCCTCACCAATGTAGCGCTCCTGCTCATCCGTCTGCCCTCCGATGGCCACGCGCCCACTGCCCAGCAGAGCCTGGATGCGACGGAACTGCTTGTCGCCCACGATGCGGGCAAAGTCGGGCGACTCCTTGGGATTGGGGCCGTAGAACTCCGTAATGGCCTCRCGCAGAGCAGGCATGAGCTTATCCTGCATTTCCACGCTGCACAGGATGTAGTCGGGTGCTATGCAGGTCTGTCCCGCGTTGAAGAAGCGCCCCCAGGCCACACGCCTGGCCACGTTGTGCACCTCGCAGTTGTCAGACACGTAGCAGGGGTTCTTGCCCCCCAGCTCCAGCGTCACCGGGGTCAGGTGCTTGGCAGCGGCTGTCATGATGATCCTGCCCACGGTGGGGCTGCCTGAGGGCAGGGAGGGACAGGCTACAGCAGATGCCACCCCACAGCCCTGGGCCCTGGACTACAGGGTGGCCAAGCCCAGTGGGACACACATCAAGGCCCACCAGGGAGGGCACCTTGTCCTTGTGGACAAGTTGCTACCCTCCCTCTTTGAAGGGGAGGGTGACCAAGCTGGCTGGTGGGAATCCTTTCCCAATTTGCACATGGAAGCTGCAGTCATGCAGGGATCAGCTCTAGCCCTCGGGACGTACCGGTGAAGAAGATGTAGTCAAACTTGTTCTCCAGCAGCTTTGTGGTCTCCTCCACACCAGCGGTCACCACGGCGTAGCAGTCCTGTAGCACGAGAGGAAGGGTCCCAGCCCCTCTGTGAGCATCTACCGGCCTGCCCCACTCTACCCCCATCCCCACACAAAGCACCCAGGAGCGCCAGGCATGGGGACATGGGCTGAGGGTGGAGGACGTTAACGTGGGAGCCACCTCGGAACAGGGAGCAGCTTCAGTGCCAGGGTGCACTAGGCAGGCACAGTGCCTGGCACACATAGGGCACAGCTCAATGTGAAGGGCTGGGGAACGCCCTGGCCACGGGGCAGGGGCAAGGACGAGCGCAGGGGACATCTTATACCTTGTCMAGGTAGCAGGGCAGCGCTTCGGCCACGAGTTTCTCAGTGTTCTTGGTGGTCTCCGAGGGTTTGATGATGACACAGTTCCCTGGTGGGGAGACGGGCAGGACATGAGAACAGCGACACACCGCCAGTCAGTGCCCCGGGCACTGCCACCCCATGGGCTGGACCCGCTGGTCCAGAGGGCAGCTTTGGCTCTGGCACAGCCTGAACTCACCCGCCGCGATGGCCCCGATGAGGGGCACCAGGAGGAGGTGGATGGGGTAATTCCAGGGCGCGATGATGAGCACCACCCCGTAGGGGTCCTTGCGGATGAAGGCTGAGTCCAGCTGCGTTACCTGCGAGCAGGGCCACAACCTCAGCACCGTCCAACCACCCCCAGCCCTGCTTCGCACCAAGCAGACACAGTGCTCCCCTCCACTTGCAATTTTCCATCTCCTTACCAGGTTCTTCTCCACATGCTCATCCTTCATCCAGCAGGACAAGTTGTTGAGGGTGTCATTGAGCTCGTTTTTGCAGAGGAGGACCTCAGAGAAATAGGCCTCGAAGGACGGCTGGAGACACAGCACCACAAGCATTACTCCTGACACCAGGCCCTCCTTCTACCCCATCCCCAGGAGACCTATCCACGCTCTTCTTCTCTGCCCCCAAAGGGGCCCCACTGGCTGTTATCAACCACCATCCCTGAGATGAAGGTCCGGGGAATATAACAGGYCCTGAAATGTTAGGAAAATGAGTATTTAGGCTGAGAAATAATCATAGCTGAATCACTTGTCAAGCTCATCTGATGACAGAGCGCAGAGGGGAGCGAGCACCACCACTAGAGCACCAGGGAAGAGAGGGCTACAAAGAGCTGAGTCAGATGCAGCCACCTGGGTGCTTCAACCTGAGCRAGCCCCAAGCGAGGCACCGGCTCTGCCCCCTTGGCTGGGGATGGGGGGATGTGCGGCTATGTTGCGGGGCTGGGGCATCTGCCGAACTCGCGTCTGCCTATGCGGGAAGCCTGAGGTTATCCTGGTGGTGGAGACATAGAACGAGGAGCAGCATCTCAGGTGTTGGTCAGGGGAGAGCTGGGCAGGGAATCTTCCAAGCCTCTGGAACACCTGAGGGCTGGGAAAGGCACATGGGGTAAGACATCCCAATAAGTGAATTAAATAGACACGTCAGATTCCATGGGGCTGAACTGGCCGGAGATGCAGTGACTCCACTGACCATTACTGGGARTCGATGTGCTGGCTGGCTCCAGGAGCTGGAGGTATTTCCTGCATGTGGCTGCTCCTTGGCACTGATGCAATAGCCATGGTGAAACACACTTAAAGCAGCTGGGCCTGAAGCTTTGGGTGCTCARCGCTCAGGAGGACACATCCTATCCCCACGATAGACACGGGTGCTGAGCCAGCCCCTTGGCTCTCTGATGAAGGAATCGGCAGTTTTCTAAGCCCGGGCTGATGGCTGCGTTTTGTTAGGAGGAGGAAGCAAAGATGAGGTTTCGATGGGAAGGCTGGAAGGTGGGACTGAGGTGGGTCTGAGGTCATCCAGGCTCTTTCCATCATCAGCGGAGAGAAACCAACACCCTGGGGCTGAGGAACCCACCTCTGATACGTAAGACCAGATGAATTGTCCATCTAACTATGAAGGCCTGACTGCATAACAAGCACATTACAGGCAAACCAGCTCCTAATGACATGCAATTAGGAATCACAAACAAGGCACTTCCAGTGCTGATGCCTATCAAGCTCTTGCTGAAGCAGAAGGTTCTCACGTCAAACAAACAAGGCAATTACAARCCCTGGGAGATTATGGAATGGTGAGACATGTGTTTGAGGGCAGGGTCCATGCASTGATACACCCACGGACACAGATCCTCTAAGTGCCACCACTGTTGGGTACCAGCATCTATCATGTGTCATCACTGAGTGTTGGCCCTGGCAAGAACCAAAAGGCACCAAAATCCCCTAGGAGCTATTGCTGTCACCAGCCTAACCGGGAGCAGATACCTATGATTAGGAAGAAGGAGGAACACCCTGTTGTGCCCGAATGGAGCAGAGCTGAGCAGAAACTGCCGAGCCTGSCAAAGGCGCAAATGCTCCCCTTGCTTGAGGGGCACCATCCTGGAGGCCTCCGGGTGCTGTAACACTCAGGAAAAGAGCTCAGTGCAGCCAGGATGGGGCTGGAGGAGAAGCCTCGCACCCAGTGTTGGCTGGGAGACGCTTCCCACCTCCCTGCAGGAACCAGAGCACCTGGAGGTGCCGCACAACAGCTCTGGAGCCCCCTTGCACCCTACTTGTCTGGGCAACCCACTGCAGTGAGACAGGGCTGTGGGGAGSCTCCTGGCTGCCAGGGCCTGGCAGGACACCCCATGAAGAGCGATGCAGGAGCCCGCATGTCGTGCTGTGCCCGGCCAGATGCAGGATCCAGATGCTGCAGCCTGCGGAGGGCACCCTGCGCCTTCCCCCGGCCCCGTACCTTGCTCATGTCCAAGGAGGTGGCCTCCAGGATGTCCTGCTTCTTCTCATCCAGGAAGCGGCCCAGGGCCTCCAGCTGGGCCACACGATACTCCATGGGYCGCGTCTTGCCTGTGAGCCAYGCTGCCCGCAGCCGGCTCACCAGCCCCGYGTAGGGGTTCCCRCTGSGGGATGCGGGTGTCACATGGAGCCCTGGCTCCCTGCCCCGTCCCAGCCCCAGCACACAGGGTCACAGGGCAGGGGAGCTCTGTGTCACCCCGACCCCTCTCCCATGATGGTCCATGTCTGGTCCTGTGACCAGACTGGAGCTTGAGGAGCTCCGTGAGGGAGGACAGGGAGTCTGGACACCCAGGTCCTCCCTAGGCCGCCAGCAAGGGCAACAGGAGCCCCTGGTGCCCTCAACTCCCCGTGATTCCCAGCAGAGCCTCCTCCCCCAGATGATCCCTGGCTCCCCAAAATGCATCCCAGCCTCCCCCATGACCAATGACACCATTGTGGGGATGGCGCTGGCCCTCTGCCCCCTCTCCTCCACCACCACCACAGGCCCCCCGACTCCCTCCGCTCCCTGGAGTCCCAGCCCTTGGGCTCTCACCTTGCGGTGCCACCATCCGTGCTGCCCTGCTGGCCACTGCCACCGTGTGCGGGTCCTTTGGTGGCGCCGCCGGACGTGCCGTGGGCACCGCCGGGATGCTGCTCGTTGTGGTGCTGCCCACCTTGCTGCTGCTGCCCGCCTTGATGCTGCCCACCTTGATGCTGCCCATCGTGCTGCCCACCTTGATGCTGCTGCTCACCATGATGCTGCTGCCTACCTTGATGCTGCTGCTGCCCGCCGTGCCGCTGCTCGCAGAGCTGCTGCCCGCTGTGGTGCCGCTGCGGGGGCTGCTGCCAGCCGAACTGCGGGAAGGGGCTGCTGACGTCCATGGAGGCTGCACGGAGCCCTGCAGGGAGGCTGGGCTGAGGTGGGCCCCATGTCACTCCTCCAAGGAGCCGGGCGGCCGGGAGGGGTTGGTGGTGCCGGCGCGCACCGGGCGGGCCGGGAAGCAGCTGGAGCGGGACCTCTCCACACGGGAAGGCTCCGGAGCAGCTGTCCCAGCGCCCCAGGCAGCCGGCAGCACCTGCCAGGGCGGCTTGGTGCTTCAGTGAGTCAGCCSCGCTGCGCCTGCCGCAGGATTCTTGGGATTCCCGGCATTTCCCATGGGCTCCGGGCAGGCTCAGGCACCCCTGCCCGCTCCCCCCACAACCAGCGCAGCCCAGGGCGGCTATGGGACACCCTGGGGTCCCCCCATGTGGTCGAGCCATTGTGGGGCCCCTGGCGTGGAGGAGCCAGCACCACTTCTGCCCCATGGATGGAGACRGCCCTGATCCGGGCAGCGCCAACACGGTGGTGCCCGAGGGTAGGGCCCCGCGCTGGCCCCACGGCACCTACCTGGGAGGCTGAGAGGCGTCGAGAGGAGCGGGAGGCCGCAGTGGTGGTGCCGAGGCCCAGGGCGGCCCCCTAAATGCTGTGGGGCTGGCAGGATGGGGCCCCGCCTCCCTGGGGTGGGAATGAGGATGAGGTTGGGGACAGGATGGGGCCTTCCCCACAGGATCGTGACATTGGGAGGCTCCCAGTGCCACCCAACCACTGCCATGACCCCTGACCCACTGGTGCCCCACGGAGGCAGCCTATGCTGCATCTCAAGCGAACCCTGACCCATGGGGACCTCATGGATGAGGATGCTCCCCATGCTGCATCCCAGGGGCACCTGACCCATGAGGATCGCATGGAGGCTCCCCATGCTGTGTCCCAGGGACGCCCTGACCCATGTGGACCTCACAGTTGTCCCTCCTGCTGCATCCCAGGGGCACCCTGACCCATGGAGACCTTATGGATGCCCCCCATGCTGCTCCTAGGGGTACTATGACCCATGGGGGCCTCATGGATGCCCTTCATGCTGTGTTACAGGGGCACCGTGACCCACAGGGGCCTTGTGGATGCCCCTCATGCTGCATCCCAAGAGTACCCTGACCCATGGAGACCTTATGGATGCCCTTCATGCTGCTCCCAGGGGTACCATGACCCATAGAGGCCTCATTGATGTTCCCCATACTGCATTCCAGGGGCACTGTGATCCATGGGGAGCTCATGGATGTGGATGCTCCCTATGCTGCATCCCAGGGGTACCTTTTCCCATGGGGTCCTCATGGATGCCCCTCATGCTGCTCCCAGGGGTACCATGACCCATGGGGTCCTCACAGTTGTCAACATGCTGCACCCCAGGGGTACAGTGACCCATGGGGGCCTCATGGATGCCCACCATGCTGCACCCCAGGGGCACCTGTTCCCACGGGGATGTCAGAGCGCCCTTGGCAGGCGCCATAGGGACACCGACCCGCTGACCCCCCCTGCCCCATCTCCAAGCTTCCTGCCCGCAGCCTGTCCCCAGCGGCTCCGTGGTGCCCAACACCACCAGGCCCCGTCGCCCACCCCAGGGCGCCAGTGCCGGGGGCCCCACAGGCACCGCTCTGTGCCTGCCCATCCGGCCCCTCCAAGCATCTCCCGCTACCGGCCGGGCCGGCTCCCGCCCGGATCGCCCCGTGACCCACGCSGGACGGCACCTGCTCCACCCACAAACAGGCCTGGCCCGTTGGCGACAGTGACACCGCCCCGCCCGGCCCCCCCAGGGCACCGGCGGGGGGGGCGCCCCCCGAAAAGGGGAACCGAGAGCGTGGGAGGCCGCGGCAGGAAGGGCGACAGAGACGGCGCCGAGGGGCCGCTGTCCCCCGAGCCCGCAGCGCCCACGGGTGAGCCCGGCGCCCCTTCAGGACCGGCGGCGGCGCGGGGCGGCGAGCGGGGCCCCCCGGGACCGGGGTCGAGACCGGGATCGAGAGCGGGGCCGGGCGCTGCGCGGGACGCAGGGCGGGAGCTGCGCGGGACGGGGCTGCGCGGGACGGGGCTGGACGGGGCGGGAGCTGCGCGGGACGGGGCTGCGCGGGACGGGGCTGGGCGGGACGGGAGCTGCGCGGGACGGGGCTGCGCGGGACGGGGTTGGGCGGGACGGGGCTGGGCGGGACGGGAGGTGCGCGGGACCGGGCTGGGCGGGACCGGGCTGGGCGGGACGGGGCTGCGCGTGGAGCCCCGAGCGCCGCGCGGGGTGCGGGCTGGGCGCGCGGGCCGCGCGGCCCCTTTAAGAGCGCCGCCTCCCGCCCCGCCCGCGGGAGGAAGCGGCGTCCGGGACGGTCCCGGCACCGGCGGCTGCAGCGCCCCGGGGTGCGGGGGCGCCGCGCGCGCGGCGGGGGGGACACGGGACCGCGGCGGGGGCGAGTTCGGGGCTCGAGGAGGCTGCGCATGGAGGTACTGGGTAGGAGTTTGGGGCACGGGGGGGCTGCAGCCCCCGTGGGTGCTGCAGGTTGGCGGCGCGTGGGGAATGCACATGGAGATGCAGCACCCACGGGTGCTGGTGCTGTGAGTTCGGGGCTTGGGGGGCAACAGCACCCACGGGTGCTGCGAGTCCGGGGCATGTGATGGCTGGGCATGGAGGTGGAGCACCCATGGGTGCTTGTGCTGTGAGTTTGGGACATGTAGGGGCTACAACACCCATGGGTGCTGCAAGTTCAGGGCACGTGGGAGCAGCAGTACCCGTGGGTGCTGGGGTAGGAGTTTGGGGCATAAGGGGGTTACAGCACACACAGGTGCTGGGGTGGGAGTATGGGGCACGAGTGGGCTGCAGCACCCATGGATGCTGCAAGTTTGGGGCACATAGGGCCTGGGCATGGAGGTGAAGCACTCATGGGTGCTGGTGCTGCAAGTTTGGTGCACATGGCCATTGCAGCGCCCATGGGTGCTGGGGTGGGAGTTTGGGGCACAGGGGGCAGYAGCACCCATGCGGGCGGGAGCTGCACGTGCAGGGGCTGGCTCCAGCAGCCGCCTGTCCCATGGGCCGCAAGTGGCGTCACCAGCACCGCAGTGACACCAGGCCCCATGCAGAGGCGGCCATGGAGAAGGACCTGCAGGAGGCRGCGGCGGTGGTCGAGCCGGGCACTACGGCGCAGGTGAGGCCGGGCCGTGGGCGGGCACCACGGCCGTGCCCGGCGCTCACGGGCGGCCTCACAGCTCGACGACCTCGTGGGCGACTACAACGAGGAGGAGGAGGAGCGCAAGTATTTCCGTCGGCGCCGCCTCGGCGTCGTCAAGAACGTGCTGGCTGCCAGCACCGCAGCCACACTCACCTATGGTGTCTACCTGGGTGCGTGCGGCGGCACCGGTACCGGCATCGGCACCGCGGGCCACTCACGGGCACCGCAGGGTGCTCACGGGCACCGCGTCCCCGCAGGGCTGCTCCAGATGCAGCTCATCCTGCACTACGACGAGACCTACCGGGAGGTCAAGTACAGCAACATGGAGCTGGGTGATATTGACCGCAAGGTGCTCATGGGCATCAATGTCACCCCCATCGTGGCGCTGCTCTACACACCCGTGCTCATCAGGTAGCGCGTGGCCCCGCCGGCCCCGGCCTCGGCCCCGGCCCCACCACTTCGCTCCTCTCCTCACACTCGCAGGTTCTTCGGCATCAAGTGGACCATGTTCCTGGCCACGGGCATCTACGCCCTCTTCATCTCCAGCAACTACTGGGAGCGCTACTATACACTGGTGCCCTCGGCCGCAGCCATCGGCGTGGCCATCGTGCCCTTCTGGGCCTCCATGGGCACCTACGTGACACGGTGGGCGGCGGGGCCAGGTGGGTGGCGCAGGCGGCATGGGCAGATGCTGACGCTCCGTCCCACAGCATGGCGCACAAGTACTACGAGTATGCGCACTACCGCGAGGAGCACGTGCAGGAACAGCGGCGCGCACCACGCGGCGCCTCCGCCGCCTACATCGTCGTCTTCCAGAGCCTCTTCTACGGCTGCTTCCACGTGAGTAGCAGTGCAGGTGGCGGGGTCGGCGCCAGTCAGGCGCGCGGCGCTGAACAGTGCCCCATGCCTTGCAGCTGAGCTTCGTGGGTGCCCAGATGCCCATGCTCTTCTTCCTCAACGACTACCTGTACAAGTTCAATCACACGCTCGACGGGGTGACGCACTGTGGTGAGCGCGCGGCGGCAGCGCATGGTGCATGGCACATGGTGCGATGCCAAGCTGCAACCCGTGCCACCCGCAGGCACCCTCAGCAAGGGCACCCTGGCTGGCCTCAGCACCACGGTGCTGCAGAGCCTGCCGCGCAGCGCCAGCCTCATCGTGGTGGAGAGTGTCCTCATGGCGGCCGCCTTCACCGCCATGCTGCTGGTGCGCGATGGGGCAGGCAGCGGTGACAGTGATGCAGGGACCCCGCTCATTCCGCGCCACCACCGCAGGTGCTKTTGCTCTGCGGCCCCGCGCACCGGCCTACCGAGGAGATCGACCTGCGCAGCATCGGCTGGGGCAACATCTTCCAGCTGCCCTTCAAGCACATGCGGGACTACCGCCTGCGCCACCTCTTCCCCTTCTTCATCTACAGCGGCTTTGAGGTGCTCTTCGTCTGCACCGGCTTCGCCCTGGTACGCGCGGTGGCGGTGGTGGCAGCGGGAGGGCCCGGGGGTGCCCACAGCGCTGACCCGGGTGCCCTGCGCAGAACTACGGAGTGTGCGCGCTGGGGCTGGAGCGGCTGGCRTCGCTGGTGGCGACATACGGCGCGGCGGCGGCGGCGGGCTCAGCGCTGGCACTGTGCGCGCTGCGGCTGCGGCGCCGCGTGCCGCTGCTGGCCGGCGCGCTCCTGCATGGTGCCCTGCTCGTCACGCTTTTCTGCTGGGCGCCCGAGCCGCGCACACCCACCCAGGCACCGCTGCTGCACGCGCTGGCYGCGCTCTGGGGCCTGGGCAGCGCCCTCAACAAGACAGGCATCAGCAGTGAGTGACGGGACGCCGGGCTGCACGGCGGGGTGGAGCGGATCGGAGCGGGGCATGCGCCCACCGGCCACGTCCCCGCCGCAGTTGTGCTGGGCGAGCTCTACGAGGACAAGGAGCGCCAGGACTTCATCTTCACCATCTACCACTGGTGGCAGGCGCTGGCCATCTTCGGCGTATACCTGTGGCAGGAGCTGCCCATGAAGGTGAGCAGCTCAGGCGGCAATGCGGGGAGGTCCCCATRGGGCTGCGGACACCATGGGGTGTCACCACCGCCGTCACCACTGCCACGTGTGTGCCCCGTGCACAGGCCAAGCTGTCGGTGCTGCTGCTGGCACTGGCCGTGGCCACGGGCGCCTACGGCTGGATGGAGCGCAAGGTGGCGCGGCGCGTGGCGCACCGGCTGCCCCGCATCCCACGGCCGCGCCACCGCGTGCGYGGCTACCGCTACCTGCGCGACGACGACTCCGACGCCACCGGCTCCGAGGCTGGCGGCGACAGCGACCGCGACGTCAGCTGTGACAACAAGGACGACAGTGACCACAGTGGTGCCAACGAGGGCGATGGCGACATCAACGGCAGCCGCGACAAGGACGGTGCCACGAGGGGCAATGTGGGTCTGCGGGAGCGACCCGTGGCAGCCACGCGCACGCCTGAGGAGCGCGGCAGCTGAGCTCCGTCTGTGCGCATGCTGCAATAAAGACGCTGCCCTTGCTGCCGTTGCTGCCGACGCCGTTTCCCGCCGTCGGGGATGGAGGGG